AAAGATGATTGAAAAAAATTAAATCGGATTGAACTCACTCCTTTTTACACGAACAGTCGGAAATGCCGGCCACAAAAGAGGTGCGTGTGTGCTGAAAAATTGTTTTCAATAATCGTTCATGAAATAACAAAAAAAACGATAAAAAATCAAATTGGCACAATTTCATATGCAAAAGCTTTTTAAATGAGTTGGGAAAGATTCAGAAAAGGAAAAGGAAACAAAAAGGACATTCATTCCAAATTTAGGATCTATTGAAAGTACGCGGTGAGGTTTTTGAATGAGAATGGTCTTGAACAGAATGATGACAAAATCAATTTGGAGCCTGCAAAATCGTGAGCGTGCACAGTGTATGCACAAATGTTGTTGGCTCTGATTTCGAAGTTTTTTGTTTTTTTTTTTTGATGACTTTGTTCATAAACCAATTAAAAAAACTTTATAACTTTCTTTTTCTTTTCAATAATAACTATTGGTAATAATTTTTCACATTGTGAGTTTTCTTCTGCAAATGTTTGGTTTCATGGTGCTGGGAAAAAAACTGACCAGAAAAAATCTCAAGAGGAAGGAATGCAAAAAGAAATCGAAAAAAAGACAAAAAAAAGGAAGAAGGAGTCAACAGAGTGAGAAATCGAGTAACCGACGTTCTATGATTGAAAACTCCAAGAAAAAGAAGAGGATGATGAAGATTTTTACAACGGCTACTGTGTGACCTCACTTTGCTGGTGCAAAGTCTCATTCTTTTGGATCATTCAAAACATTTCACCGAGAATTTTGAGATTCTACTATGGTTCGTGAGTAGCGGTTTCAGCGTGGGCTCCAAGGATTTTTATGAAGTTATTCGAAAAAAAAACCAGAAAAGTTTTAAAAATTCAAAGAGTTGTGCCATGATGTAATCTCGTTTAAAAAAAATCCGATTCCGCCAGAGGACGCCGTATTTCAATTTGAAACGTTGTGCGGTCTTGGCAAATACTGGCTAGACTGCTCGGACTTTCAGCCCCTCAAAGAAGTTCTAGAATTATAGAAAGTTTTGAACCATTTGCTAAAACGAATCTTCATTTGAGAGGAAGCAGAAAGAAAGGAGAATACGACACGGGAGGAGCGGAGGATGTGACAAATGTGCGAGATGGATCTCCTATAGCAAGGGGCGCGGCTCAAAGGCGGGGCTCTAAAGAGGCGTGGCTAGAACCTATAAATCTGTACAGATTATGAATGTCAGACAGCAAACTCCGCCTCCATGGCAACTGTCTTTGTCCTTTTGACCAACCATCTTACGTCACTATGATCCTTTAATAGCGCTGCAAATTTCCGCGGCATAAGTCAGTCCAAAAGAACCATTTATTTATTTATTTATTCATTCATTTCCTTTAAACACGAAAATAAAGAGTATTTGAAAAGGAAGAATTTGAGTGAAGAGAACCCGATATAAAAACGCATTAACGAGCGATTTACCGGGATGGAAGACACGTATTGATTATTGAGAACAGAAACTCCAGATTTTTTAGAGCAAACCATACAAGGATCATCTCCACTATCGATAATTACTCGACGCGAGAAGGTATTGCAGTGTTTGAGTCGCATTTGGCTGCTCGAGAATCAACATAAAAACGACTATATTGATTTTGATTGGACGCCTAGCTCTGTAACCTCAATTCAGACACACCGGTAGCGCTGCCAGACTGGAGGCAAAGAAGTGGCCGACGGTCTAATGAAATGAGGCTACTGAACTGAACCTTATCACTTTGATAACGCCACTCGAACATCAAAGCGGCCAAACAAAACAAAACATTAGTGTTTCATTTAACATAAACAAATATTCTACAAGGTTTATTGGTGTTCTATGGACACAAAAAAACACTGAAGTGAATTTTTGTGGAAAAGCGCATCGGATAATGGGGAAAGAGGAAAATGAGAGAAATGCTGATATATTAAAATTGCGAAAGTTTATAGTGCACGGGCGTACAATTTTCGCGAAGAATAATCTTGCGTCTTGTGTCATGGAAAAATCAATTTTTGCATTTTATTTTTAATTTTAGAGAATCTTTGAGAGTAGTCGAATTTTTTTCTGCAAAATGAAAACGAAAACTCTCCGAAAATATTCATAGCTTTTACGAGGTCGATCATAAACCTTGGTTCAACGGTTTGCAAAAAATCATTTGGATCTAGAAGATAAATTGCAACTGTAAACTATGTGAAAAGGTATAATCAATAAAATATGGGATTTTTCTGAGTTTTTGTTAGCAGATCCAGAATCCTGTACAGAGTTTTACTCAAAGAAAAAGTTGAAAGACGCGGAGTGGACGGACACCGGCTATAGAGTGTAAAAAATGGAACAGGCCCAAATTCCTGATGGTGTAGGGCTCACTCCGAAAGACTCGGTGATGAACAAAGTTTTAACTTTGGAAAAAAGGGGAAAAGAGGCGTGAAGAAAGAGCTCGTGAACTGTCCGGCTCTTTCAAGATTTAATCAGGGAACGTTATATAGAAAAAAAAAGAATGCTTGCAGATATGGTTGTTTTTGGCATTTTCGCCTCTTCCAGTCAGTCACCGAAAGACTTTTCCTCTTCGGAGCCCCATTAAAAAAGTTCAAAAAAAACATCAGATTCGGAAAAAAAAACGAGAAGCACAGGGAGAATACAAATTGTTAACCAAATTTTGGCTTTGGCATCTGAGAAAAGAACAGGTAAAAATGAACTTGCATCAAAATTGCCTCTAACAAAAGTTGCGGTGCACCCCGCGCACCGTGCGCATTTTATATTGTAATTTTATTTAAACCGTTTTTTTAAATCGAAACTCAAGAAAAAAAGAAGTTGTATAAATTAAAAAAACCATCAAAAGTTCGAACGGCGACTTTTTCCGCATTTTTTTATCATAATGAACTTTCCGACTTTTTTTCTTTATAAACTCTTCGTTTTGAATCTTCCTATACAAAAATAGGCAATTTAATTCCTGTTCAAAAACATATATCAGTGGGAAAAAAATAGTATTGGATCTTTCATAAACCAAAAAAATATAAGGAAAAAATTCGGAAAAGGGTTAGTCGGAAAGTTCCCTGGATTATATGTGCCCCCGACCAAAATAGGGCAAAAACATTTTTTCTTTTTTCGTCAAATAGATAAGTTCAGTTAGACCAGACCAATGAATTTCCGCCAGGATTCATTTTACTCCAAACTATATTAAAACTTTCGCGTACCATTTAATCAAATTTGAAATTAAATATCCAAGAAATGGATTGCATTTCTTATGAAAATCCAAATTGAACCAGGTTCTGCCCCTATAATTATTGTATTTTTTTTTGATGTATTTCCATTGCATCAAATAATGAGAATTATTACTGTATTTTATCTTGAAAAGGAATGAGCATTGATATGTTGGAACAGAGAGTATCGACTGTTTTATTGGCGGCATAATGAAAAGAACTGGATCGAGTACCCTCCTTTTGAGCAGCGTCTGTTTCTCGTCTGCCGCGGAACATTTTGGCGTCGTCTGATTAGGGGTCCTCGAACTCTCGACGGCATTCTTTGTAGTCGAGTAGGCATTCTGTCGCAAGTCGCAACTTCATATTTCTTTCTATGGATATTTCGCTTCATATTCAATAACGAAGCGGCAATTTTTCAGACTCTCAAATTTTCTGAATTTTTTTCAAATTATTCGTGTTCTATTAGATGACTCATTAAGAGAAAAAGTTCTAACATTTTTTTTCAAGGTTGTCGACTATTAGGTTTTCTTGTAACAATAGTTAGTTTTAACTTTTTAACTTTTAACTAACTATTGTTATAAGAAACCTTGTAGTCGACAATTTTGAAAAAATGTTCTCACTTGAAAATGGCAAGAGAATAAAAGTCCAAAGTCATTTTCTTGCATGGCGTCTTTGGCGCCGCTGTGTTTGCAGACTTTTTTTCAACCGTGTCAATTTTTTTGGTAATTAATTTTGTTTTTCATGCCGTCGTACAGTTTTCATTGTTTTCAACAAAAACGATTTCTTTTTTTAGTGATGTCTGTCGGGATGGGGATAACATCATCTTAGACAGCGCCCGGAAGTGAACGCCTCTTTTCTCGGCTGCTCAACCCCGCAAAAGGAAGAAAGAAGAACGCAAAGGGGGTGAGTCGCCTCAAGATTTACTTTTACAAATTGGGTTTTGACTGAAAGGTATAGAAATAAAAAGGAAATTTTTTGCCTTAGCTCATCCTTACAGTCGGTAGACTGAAGTCCATTTTTTTCTGAATTAGTTTAACGAGGGCTTCACCGTTCAACTTAGTTTTATCGATTATATCTTGGAACTCAACTTCGCGATTAACAAAATTTCTCTTCTGATCGAGTAAAATTTAACTTTTTCGTTGAATTTTAAGGGTTTGATCTTTCAGAAATTTTTTTTGAATGTGACTGACGCGAAACGGAAAAAAAATGTAATTATTGGGAAACAACCTTTTTTAAATTACATCCGAAGACGCGTGATTTGCCCAAATTTCCTTTTCTGAAATTATTTTTGATGCTGAAATGATAGTTTGATTATTGAAAGTGAGAACTATTTTCAGCAGATTGACTGCGAGCGGAAGTCTACTGCAAGATGCTGTCTCGCGAGAAAGAGCGCGACAACGACAAAATGTCGAAGTCGCCTTCGATGCGCTCCAAGACCGCGAGAGCTTCTTCAAAGACTCCGGAGCCAACAATCTCCGCAAAAGGAAGAAAGAAGAGAGGGAAAGAATGGTGAGTTCCTTTAGATATTTTATACATGTTTTAACATAGGAAAACTCGTTTTAATGCGTGTTGGATGAATTGTTTCAGCCGAACTATTTTTTCACAACTTTTTCTTCTCTTCAACCTTCGATTTTTCATATTTTTTGGAGAAAGACGAGTTGATGATGATGATCCCTTCTACAGTGCTGAGACAAGAGCGAAATCTCCACCTTCGCTTTTTTTCAAGTAGTTGTTCTACTAATCAATAAATTTTTCTAAGGGATAAAAATAAATATTTGAGGATGTAAACGGAAGCATCAAGACACTCGATGTCTCCCCGCTACGTTTCCTCGTCGGTTGAAGGGGGGACTGACGGGAATGTCCGTCGGGATGGTGATGTCTTCATTCTTGCAAGTGAGTTATTTTTTTTTGTTTTGGAATTTCGGAAAAGCATAAGAGAAATGATGTTTATCAAAAACTCTTTTTCTTCCAGACTAGCAAAAACATCAGGAACAGAAAATTCTTTGTTCCAACACTTTTATTGGAAAATTGTTGATCAAAATTTATACAGCCGACAGGAAAACCAAATTATCTACCCATTTTTTTCTTATTTTCGAAAAATTATCTCCATTTAATATTACAGCAGCGTTTTTCCAGGTTTTTTTCTTCTAATTTTTGGCTTTTTTTAACATCTTCGAAATAGAAAGCAATCATTACTTTGATCTTTTTTTAATTTTGAAAATTTTATTTTTTTAACTCAAGTAGTTTTTAGCCATTTTGGTGAAAAATGGTGATGGACCCGAGTGGCAACAAGTCCGATCGGGCATTCTCCCACATCAACAACAACAGATGCAGTTCGGACAAGTTCCTGTGAGTTTTTTTCTTGTCGACATTTGAAAAAAATAGTATTTTTTTAGAAATGCTGGACGGGATGGTGATGAACCATCAACAAAGGTGCCCACCGAAACCATTTGGGGCGAGGATGGCGGGGCTACAAAAAGAAAGGTAGTTCATTTTATTTTGAAAAAAAAGATTCATTCTTTTTTCCTGCTTCTTAACTTTGAAAAAAAAGTTGACTTAAGTATTTCTGAATGTTTGAAATAAAAATTTTTTTGTTCAGCCGTCTTGAGCGGGATGGTGATCTCGGGTATCGGCGTGCGTCGGTCCTTGCACGGACAAAGGGCTCCAAGAATTCTTTCAATACTACTCTGGAGAAAAGGTATATCTTTGGATCTGGGTTTCATGTTTTACACGTTCATAAGAAAGCTGTTGTAGTACTATTCTTTCTTTTTTTGTAGCTTCTAATCTTCGAACGTTATTTTAATTTGAGTTCTCCTCAGATTCTCTTCTTCCGCTTTGTTTTGTCACATTTCTTCCATCATTTAAATTTTCTTTCTTATCTTTTTCTGTTGGTTTTTGGTGTCGACGACAAATAACAAACAAATTTTTTGCTTTCAGAAATTTTATTCTAGTTATTGTTATTTCAAACAAAGTCAAATTTTCCAGATTTCGAAACTTTTCGCACTCCCCACCTTACTTTTATATAAAACTTGAAAATAGAAGTTTTTTTTCGAGGTGAATACAAAATTGAAATGAAATTGAAATCAATTTGAAGCTCGATTTTTTTCACGAAATATCACGAGTCCAATTGCGTGTAATGTTCACAATTTTTTTCCCTTTTTTTATCATAAATGTACATATTGAAACAAACATCGTCATTCGCGATTGAGAAGAGAAGGTTATGAAGTTTTTTTATTGGTTTATGATAAAAAAATCCTCACAAAAAATAGAGAAAACCTTTGAACTCCGTGTCACCAACATTAGTGCACACACGATTCACGCTCACGATCATTTGCAGGCTCCAAATTGATTTTGTCATCATTTTGTGTAAGACCATTTTCATTTAAAAAACAAAACTTACCGCGTACTTTTAGGAACTCCTAGATTTGGAACGCATATCCCTCCTGTTTTCATTTTCTTTTCCTCTTCTGAATCTTCTCCGACTCATTTAAAAAAAGCTTTTTGGATATGAAATTGTGCCATTTATATTTTTTTATCGATATTTTCACGTAATTTTATGAAACCAAGATTTAAAATATATATTTTTCAGCACACACCACCCTCTCTTGTGGCCGGCTTTTCCGAGTGTTCGTGTAAAATGAGTGAGTTCAATTCAATTGAGTTTTTTCTTTCAATCGTCTTTTTTCAGGTGTGCTCAAACTTGTGTTTTAAGCTATAGGTTTTTTTTAGTTTATAGATAAACTAGGAACAGTAGTCTGAGTCTGAAATAGTTTAGATTTTAGTTTAGTTATTTTCTCAATTTCTAGTTTTTAACCGCCGATCTCACATATCGGCAATTTTTCTCACCTGGGTCTTGCCTGCAGTCCCCAGGCTTCTAAACATCTTTTTTTTTCCGTTTTCTAAACATTGTTTCTTCACCTGGCGGTACGGCGTAGCTGCTGACCACAGGCTTCGAGATTTTTAAATTTTTTTTTGTTCAATCTAGTTATCTGAACATTTTTTCTTACCTGAGTGCAAGGCATGAGCCCCATGCTTTCCTCAGGCCTCAGAAAAAAACTTATTTTTTTCATTTTTTTGATGAAAAATTTTCTTTTTTTCTTAATTTAAAAAAACATAAATAAACATAATTAATAACTATTTTTTTCAAAGCAAGTAATCTCAAAATTGTTAAAAATGGTAGAGTCCGTTGTTACTAACAATTTGAGCTCAAAAAATGTTGAATTGAAAACAAGGTCAATAAAAAATTGTTAATAAAAAAATAAATGAAACACGAGCCGGCCACAATGAAGAGAAAGAGAGAAGCTGGTTGAGAAGGAAAGGGCCGGATGGGCCACTGAACATTAATGAATCAATTTGTACGGCGTTTGAACGTCTCTTGCGGAGGGACAAACTTCTTGCTCATCCCATTTTCTTACCGAGCAGAGAACCTAAAGTAAGAACTTCTTCCACTTCTTCCAACTTCTGCTAAATTTTCAGCTACCGGAACCTTCTTAACGCTGATACGATAGTTCTGCGACTGGGTTGGTTTTTTTTTCAAAACATTCCAATTTTTATATCTGATTTTCATAGTTTTGTAAATGATGAATGCCTTTTTCAGACAGCTGTAACCACGGACTTCTACCTCGTGAGCAAACACCGCGATATCGTCACGGAAAAGGAAAAAACGCAGATGGGAATGCTGACGTCGCTGGTTTCGTTTGACCAATTGACAGCCAGGCCTTATAGAATATTTTTTTGATGGAAAACCTTGTTTTTAAAATTGATTATTGTGTTGTTTTTTTCCTTCTTGTTAAAAAAATTAAATGAATTAAATAAATGATTTCTGTATCTAATCTCAAAAAGCAAAAATGCAATAAAGGTGTTGGAATAGAAAAAAGTCGATTGGAAGAGAGCAAAAGAAACAAATTTTGAAGTCTTCAACTTCTTTTAAAACTACTTTCTTGTAAGGAAACCAATCATTATGAAACTTTCTGAGATTGTGAGGACTGTTTTGAAAAATCTGATAAAATTTCAGTTCACATGAAAAAACGCAATTTCAGAAACTCAGGACGACTGAATTCCTTACAAGAAAGTTGTGGCCAAAGTCGCGTTTTTTCGTATCTTTTCTGACGGTTTTTGGACAAACTCTATTATTAGCAGACTGCTCAACTTTCTTAAGAAGACAAACAAGAAGAATTTTCTTCTAAAAACAGTTTTTTTTTAAATGTACTAACGGCTTTGAATACTTTGAAAATACCATATCAGTAGCGTATTTCAGATGTTAACATATTTTGTTGCGTGGCCGGCGGTCACGAAAAATCCCAGACAAGGAAAAATAAAAGATTTTTTCAAAGTTCAAGATACTCTAACTCTAACCGTCAGCCACTGAAGCTAAATCTTGGCCTTCTTCGTTTTTTCTGCTTTTTCTTATCTTTTTTTTCTGTGTTTCAATAATTTTTGTGCTTATTTCCTTTCAAAACAGATTACAGGAATAATTTTCATTTCTCAATACAGTAGAAATATATCAACAAATACAATAACACAATGACCAACAAGAATTTTCATCAAAAATTGAATGGGTTCAAAGTTTCCAAGTAACATTAAAAGGTGCACAAATTAGTAAAATGTTAGCAAATTCAAAGACCGCTGATTTGACTTTTTTGTATCTAAAGGGACAAAGATTCGAAAAAGGTGATGTTCATTTGCCCTATTGGAACACAAAAAAATTAAGGTCACAAAGATCTGTAACTGTAGGGATGTTGAAAAAGTTGAAACTTCTCAAACCCGAAACGGTCTTCTTTTCTGCGACTTTTCGTGGGAGAGTCGGTTGTTCATCCTGAAAATTAATGTATTGACTCAGAAAGTTTGCTACTCCGGGCTTCTGAATCGAAGACCCAAAATTCAACAAACACTATTTGTGAAAAAGTCCAAGTTTCAAGAAATGAAAGTTAAAAACTCACTCGAAAAACAAAAGCGTTTCTCCTTCAGTGGGAAGTAAAAATGCTAACTTTCGTGTCCGTTTATCTCCTTCGCCTGTGACCGTGTCGCGGTGCTTGCAGATTAGGTTGAGGTTCGGAGCCGCCGCAGTCTGCAAAAAAGCATTTTTCATCGACAAGATTATCAAAATCGGATGTAAAAATAGAAAATTTTCAAGAAAAATAATTCATCTCTGTCTGCTGTGAACGGCTTCAAAAATGAAATGACTTTCCATGCTTTTTCTTCAAGTTCTGATAAAAACGGAAAGTTTTACGAGATTGAGAGTTTCAACACTAACTTTTTGTTTTTCTCTTATCGAGTTCGACGAAAATTAAAAAATAACCTGCGTTTTTTGACGCGTTGTGAAGCAACCGGAGAAGATGGCGTTCCATTTTTGTCACCCGTCGAGGTGGATCATCATTATCCCAACGAAAATATCTGAAAAAACTCGAATTATTCTATTTCTGTTTCCGTTCCATGTATGTTCTGAACTTTACCTGTTTTTTTTTGCTTGCTTCGGATTGAGTGGCGCTCAATTTTGAGCGCCGTTCTAGGTGAAGTATCACCATCCCAACCAACATCGTTGACGGATTTGTATATTTAAAAAGCCGATTTCTCGATGATTCCTAAAATCAGAAAAATTACTACGAAAAATCTTTGACTCCTACGTGAAATTTCGTCCTTCTGATCGGCTTTCGAATAGATGATCAAGAAAAGCATTCAATCCGATGCTTTGGATGCTTTTCTTGATGATCGTCATATCACAGAGCTTCGGACGGTCGAGATTTGCGGGCGATTCCGTCCAACCGGCCGGATATTACGAGTACGAATTTTCTGAATTTCCACATATTCAGAATAATAACGGACAATAATCTATTCAGCGCGGTTTTCAAAAAGTTCTTCGTGAGAAAAAAGAGATTTTTCATGTTTCTTACTTCAACAATAATGAAAATCCGATATCTTACTTGAATTTCTTCTCGTGTCCTGAAGTCATCGTACAGCTCCTTCTCGCACCTTTAGAGGTGAAACATCACCATCTCGACCAACATCTGAAATTGGAAAAAGCTTTTTTTTATCTAATTGTCCTACTGTCATTGTATCCACGTTTGAGAGGTTCCGATAACTGAAAAAAAAAAATGGTCGAAAGAAGTTGAAGAAATGCTCACTTTGGATTCTCTGCTTCGTAGGAAAACGGGATGAGCGAGGAGTTCCTTCCGTCGCAAGACAAATTCATTCGCCGTACAAATTGAGCCTGTAACTTGTAAGTTGGGCGAAAAAAAAATCATGCAAAAAATCTTCTGATGCAACAAGATTTGTCATTTCCTGATGCTTTCGTTAGCTCTCCAATCAAAATTCGATATTTTACCTGTGTTTCTAGTGATCCAAAGCCGCCGATGAAGGCCAATTTTCTCTCCGCTCGAGGAGAAAGATCACCATCTCGACCAAAGTCTCTGAAAGAAAAAGGGTTTTTGGTGAACATCATCTCTCTTATGCTTTTCCGAAAATCCAAAAAAAAAAACTCACTTGCGAGAATGATGACTGATCACCATCCCAAACAACATTTCTGTCAGTTCTTCTACTGACGAGAACACGTAGCAAGGAGACATCGAGAGTCTTGATGCCCCGACAGTCCACGCGACCGCGACACTTTGTCGCTGTCGCGCTCTTTCTCGCGGAGAGGCGTCTTGCAGTAGGTTTCCGCGAGAAGTGGATTATCACCATCTCTACCAGCATGTCTGAAACAAAAACAATGTTAAAAATTAAGAAATCGTTTTTGATCAAGTTTTGATGCAGAACAGGAGCGCGTGCTCCATTTCCGCGTGCTTTCCCATTTTCTCAAAATGCCTTTGAAATATTCCATGACGACGAGCAGTTTTTTTTTTACTCATTTCTTCTGAGTTTTTTGAAATATAACACGACAGGAAGCAGTTTCGATCATCAACCATCCATTCTTACCCATTAGAAAACTCTATTGATTGATAGGACAGCTGCTTGAAAAAAAAACGCGAAAATGGGGGTTTCGCTCTTGTCTCGGCATTCGAATTTCGTTTCGAAGAAAATAGAAGTGATTTTCTCATCAACTCGTCTTTCTCCAAATAATATGAAAAATCGAAGGTTGAAGAAAAGGAAAAGTTGCGGAAAACAGGTTGGCTGAAATAATTAATCCAACTCGCATTAAAATGAATTTTTCTACGTGAAAAGATGTATAGAATATCTAAAAGAGGCTCACCACTATGTTCGCGGAGATTGTTGGCTCCGGAGTACTAGAGGATGCTCTCGCGACCGCGATAACACGGTCGTGGCGCGCATCGAAGGCGACTTTGACCGCATTGAAGTTCGTCGCTGAAAAAAAATTTTTTTTTCGCTCTCCATCCAATTTTGACGGGAATTGACTTATTCGCCTATGATTTTCCCCCTGTTTGAGAAGCGAGAAGAAAACAATATTTGAGTAACCGACTAGGAAGGGTAGTGAAACCGAGGACTCCCCATTTATCAGGTTGACTTTTTTTTTTCGCCTCGAATCTTTTTGGAAGAGAGAGGAAAATGGCCTGGTCGCAAACGTGAGTACTCAAGGTATAATTTAAATCACTTAGTTGGAAGGAAATTCCTTCATTAATTGAACTTTGCTGAAAAATGGACGTTGCCGGGCAAAAAGGAGCTACTGCGCCAAATGAACTGTTGTGAAAAAAACGTGTAATAACGTTTAATGAGCGAGAATTGTCAAAAAAGAAAGATATAACTACCGTATCAAAAGTAACAAGCGCAAGCATTTTTTCCCTTCGGCTCGGACGCATGAAGTTTTTGGGAATGAGATTCACAACTGCTGTTTATGTATCGCCACGTGATCTTCGAACACGTGGAAATTTTAAAACTTCAGTAATGAACGCAAAGTGGGACAGCAATGTGATCGTTTCTCCGAATTAATATATAATAAATATTTTACGTCAACAACTGCGTTGTTTAGCAAAAATATAACAATATAGGGGCAAAAACAAACCTTTCAAGTTTTCACAGCGACTCGAAGTTTCGGCCATGAATTCAGTGGGGGGCTTTCAAAAAAATTTTTTTTTGACGGGACGAGGCAAATGACGTTGAAAAATGGCCGATATCTACAATTATTCATTCATTGAAAAATAAAAACGAAACATTGAGACAAGTTCATAAAAATTGTGAATAGATCAAATTCTATGAAAAAGAACTGAGTAATCATATTCGTTTTACGCCGTAAATACGCAATATTTTCCATTTCGAGATTGGTTTGAACAAAACATTTGGTTAAAATCTAAAACCCCTCATTTTCACTCATCACTTCTGTTTGACCTTACTTTCTTTCTCGCTTATTACGTTTACTTCATTTTATGAAAAAAAAAACTGACTTGACTAAAGTGAGGACCATTCTGAAAAAGCCACCAGAAAAAGTCCCGTCTAGGAATCTAGCTACGACAAGTTACAAATTGGAAATTCCGAGCGCAAAATTAGCAAAGAACAGGAAAAAACACGTTTATGGGGAGAAAATTTAATTAATCATTTTCTTTCACAAATACAAAGTATTCGCTAAAACTTGAAACAGTCTGACTTCTCTGCGCCCTCTTTCTTCTCAACGGCGAGGTCAGAGAAACATGAAAATAGCACGTCAAAATGAGAGCGTCATCGAGTAGAACAACTACTCAGAGAAAAACTCTCATTTTTCCGGGCTATTCTCATTTTTATATAACCTCTCCGATGAGGGAAAAGAGACACAGACAGGTCAGATTTTCTCAAATCAAGGCAAATGGAATCAAAGGAGAGTAATTGGTTTACTTGTCTAGAGTAGCAGCTCCGGGTCCTTTTCGTTCGGCGCAGCTTCTTTATTGGAGTCGGGTCTTCAGCTCCAGTTTCTCCATCCTGGTCATCTTCGGTTGCTATAGAGACTGCAGCAACTGGAATAAAATATCATTATGATGTGAAAAAAAGGTGAAAAAAAGAAGAACAGAAAAATCGTATTTAAGAGCGAACTACAAAGAGTATTTAAGAGCGAATTACAAATACTTCAAGTAAGATTTGCTACGCTTTTCTTTATCAAAAGATTAATCCATCCTACTTGATAATAAAAGGTTGCAGTGTCTGGTACGGCTGTAAAAAAATCATATTTTTCATACATTTTAATTATATTAAATATCATTTCTCCCATAATATTCTCAGTCGCTCACCGTTTCTATTCTCTCGCGTATTCGTTCTTTCTTCTTCCATCATGGAGTAAAAAGCCGCGGGCCGGTTTTCCCTTTTTCTGCTTCTCTTGCAAGTCTGAAATTTTGTTTTTTTTCTACAACTAAAAATCGATAACCGCTTAAAAATCTGAGCACTGGATGACATTTCCGAAAAATTGTTGATAGGTTTTTTCTCAAGAAATCAGTATTTAAGTATTTCGTCTATTTATTTCAATAGAGAATTACAATCATAAAAAGAGATACGAACATAACCACTTTGGTCGAAGCTTTTTTGTAAGGGTTTCGATATTTCTGAAGGTTTTAGGAGCTGCTTTTGTTTTCTGTGAATCGAAACTTCATCAGAGCGTTGAAAATAACAGTCCACGGAGCTCCAGAAAGTTTCAGAAAAATTGAACGTCTTACAAGAAATGTATGACTGAAACCCCGTGTTTTTTTTTATCTTTTCTGACGGTACTGTATATTTGAAAGATCTTTTTTTGCTCACCTCTTTCTTTATGTTTTTGGGTTCTTCGCTTTTGATAAAAACGTGCCACGTCCAGCTTCTATTCTCGCGGATTGATTCCACAAGTTGAATGGAAACCAATACCTGTCAAAATTATTCTTCTTGAGAAAAATAAAAAAAGTACGAGTAAATAAAATGCCACGAAAAAAATACAGTTATTGGAAAATGGTAGAAAAAAAAGGTTGGTGGAATTCCCAGTAAAACGCGAATTTGTATAAAATTAACAAAAAAACATCCGATAACAGAAAAAAATGACAAAAAAATCTTACCGATCGATTGAAACAAAAAGGTCAAAAAAATTCTGCAAGCACCATCGCCCATCATTGCACAGCGGCGCTTAAGATGCCACGCAAAAAAATTTCTTTAGACTTTTCTTCCGATTTCCAAGTGAAATTATTTTTTTCAAGTTTTCGACGACAAGGTTTTTGTAGCAACAGTTGACTAAGTAATTTTGGTAAAAGAATCATCTAGGAGAACACAAAAAAATCGATAAAAAATCCCAAAAATTTAGAATCGGGAGAAGTACCGCTTTGTTAATCAGAATGGGAAAGAAACGAAGTATTAAAAAAGGAAATATGGGATTGCGACAAAATGCGCACTCGACTACAAAGAACGCCGTCGAGAGTTGGAGTACCCCTAATCAGACGACGCCAAAATGTTCCGCGACGGACGAGAAACAGACGCTGCTCAAAAGGAGGGTACTCGATCCAGTTCTTTTAATTATGCCGCTAAGAAAATATAATTATAGAAAAACTAACCAGAGAACATCTTGAACAAAGAGCAAAGACGGACAATTCTACATTGAAAAACTTTTCCTTCACGAGAAAACATCAACGTTTTTTTTTAGTTGCAAAAAGTAAACTTTCTTGTCACCTGGCGTTTTGACCCGATAACTGTGTTGCGCAATGAAAACGAGGATTCTGGTCCTTTTTATCCGACAGAACTCGAGTCAAATCATCCCCCAAAAAGCTTGATAGATCGAAGTCTTTCAAGCTTCAACGCAATAAAAAAAAATAATTTTCATATCTTTTTTCAAGTTGGGTCACAGAATAATTAGTTTGATGATGCTCAATTACAAATTGTAGATACATTTTTAGGGTTCTGCAAAACTTATAACATGATAATAGATGAGTATTTACGGATGTGGGTAAATTTCTAATGTTCTCATGCGAAAAAAAGCGAGCGATCGATAATTGAGTTAAGATGTTTGATTACATTTGGTTTTCGCCGCTTCTAAGTTGCTTCTCAAGTCTTCGCTCTCCAAAAAGATTGAATCGAGTCATAAAATTAGTCCTTTTAGTATGAATTTCGCATTCAAACTGCCATTTCTTGAGACAACCAAAATTTGGGACTGCCAATTTCGAAACGTGCATGGCACCGAAATAAACCGTTAACTTGTTTTTTTTTTTTTACTTTTTTTCAAAACTAGGATCTTGTGTACAATTCCAAGTAAACCAATTGGAACGCAATGAAGAGCTCTATAAAATGTCAGATCGTCTCGAAACCCATTTCTTCTGCCCACATGCCTCCAAGTATTTTGTTATTTGCTTGAGGTCTCCGAAAACAGATTCAAGTAGGGTAATCATCTTTTTGGCCGCTCTTTTGCCGATGCCGGTACGCGTTTTTGTGTCGCCTGATGAGGGGCTCTTCAATCGTTAACAGTCGGCATTCTTTGGTGAGTAGGTAGTATGTGGAGCCCCCGATTCATCAATAGAATATCTCAAAGTGGGCTTTTGTCTGTTTGGTTTTTTTTCTTCTCGGGGAACGATGTAATTTGAGACATGACAGATACGAAAATCTAAATATGACCAGAAGCCTCGCTTTCATTGCGCGATAAACTTGTCGGGTCAACCCGCCAGTTGACCGGGTAGTTTACATTCTGCGACGTCTGCCATTTGTTGATAGGAGGCTATTCATCAATCTCAAGGGATCTTCGTGGGTCGATAACATGTAGAGTCGGGGATTAAACTTCAACAGCCATTCAGTTCCTGTAATGGCTACTTTTCAGTCATGAAAATGTTCAACTAGTTCATCAACTTTATTTCAGTTTTGAGACTCGATTTACGATAAATTTTTCTGATTTAGACTTTCAAATTTTTGTTTACTGTCGTCAGAGAACATCCCTATTCTTTTTTTCGATCAGGTCATTTTTTTTTCCAATAGAAGCAAAAAGATTTTCCAAATGATTCAGTTTAAGAAAAGGTTGAATTACTTGCAGGATTCAATCCACGTCTCAAAGAAAAAAACCATTCCTTATTTTTCGATCTGAACTCTGCAGAAATCACTCTATAGGTAAAGAAAGGAGGAAGCGTCATTGAAAAATACTAGGAGCTGAAAAAGGGAAAACAAATGATTTTGTGTGTATTGCAATAAATGGTTTTGCTTGAAAGATTCAACAAGATTTACTAGTTTTTCGGATTCCGGTCTCAATCGGATCTCGCAAAAAACCGATGAATCTTGAGCTCTTTGATGTCGCCTTTTTTCCCTCTGTTTTTTTCAAACTTTTTATCTTGTTTTTTTAACTCAGCCGAACGTCCTTTAAAACCAGGAATTAGCGCCTGTTCCGTTTTTCAAAATCGACTTTTGTCTACTCCTTCTTTCAACGTTGGTCCTTGATAAAATCTTGGTCCAGAGGCCCTGTCTGGCTTTTCGATTACCTTCTCGATTTTTCTCTCTCATTTAATCACCAGTTTCAGTTCATTTGTTAAATTAACCTCAGGAAAAACTCCGAAATGCACATTAATTTGACATTTTCTGAAAGAAAAAAAGTTTTTCCAGCATTATTTTGTTTCTTTTTCTCTGTCATTTTCCGCTATGATTTTTTTCGCGTGCATTTGATCTGAACAAACTCAAACACAGGGACGTAATTTAAGAAAAAAACCTCTGTGCGATAGAAGCCACCTTTTCTCAGCGCAAAAAGACTTTTTCATTCCGTTTTTTTCCGAGTACGAAGACTTCTATTTTTTTGTCGATTTTTCTTATTTGCCGGTCTGTTGTCTGAGCGGCGTTATCAAAATGATAAGAATCAGTAAAGTAGCCTCATTTAATCAAAAACTCTGCCGCTCTTTTTGTCGCCTATCGAAAAGTTCAACTGTTATACTTGATGAGAGGTTTCAACGGTAGGCGTCCAATTTTTTTATCAATGTAGTCTGTTCAGAATATGAATATAGAGGATATGTACGCTCGTTATAGTACCTTTTCGCGGCAGGATAATCCCCAAATGGCGCCTGCTTTGATCTTTTTTTCTTCTAATAGCTTCCAGAAGAGTCATAAATGCAGCTTCATTAAAGGATAATCCTCACGCGCAATTATTGATTGACGCGAAAAATACTGTAGCCACGAAAAAGAAGATGGCTGGTCGGCATTCAAAATAAGCTTTAAGGCGGATCCTGGAAAAGTAACCAGTAGAAGGTTGGAAGGTCAATGGAAGCTAGAAAGTGTTGAGAAGGCCATGAGGAAATGTTTCGAAGGTTTTGGGAATTTTTTCGGAATTTACAAAATTGCAAACACCTGTCAGTAGCCTTTTGGGAGTATTCGACCGCTTACTGGAAGCCATCCACCGCCTTAAAAATCATAGTTCTTCAGTTTTTAACTAGGAACAGACTATGGAAAAAAGAATATACAGTTGCGGAAAAGGGTGAGTATTTTTTTGGTTTTTCGTTCATAGCTTTGTCAAAAGCAATCATTTTGACCGCAAAAAAGTTAATCGGCAAACAAAAATTGGACAAAGCCCGTAAACCGGTATAAAAAACTTCTATATGAGATAATTAAATAATTGGTAGCATAGTCTTTAAGTTGGATAACAGCCTTGCTTCTTCGGGGCATTAGCTCGATAAATGTGTCCAACATGCTCATTAGGATCTTCTTCCAAACTTTTTCTATTTGCTTCTTTGTAGCTTTTAGGTCAAAAACAATCCCTTTAACAACAAACTTCTTCGAAATACCAGGTCGAAAATTTTTTAACATAGTTACGAGGAAAATACCAAGAGAAAAACTTACCCATTTCCGCTACTGTAACTGAAATCATGAAAATCTTAAATTTTTATGTATTATAAGTAATCAACAAGGCGGTGAACTGGAACTTTTAAATTGCTTTCTCGTGACTCACTCTTGAATTTAGTAACTAATTCATTATGCCGCGAATTTTCCAATGGTTCCACCGTGAAACCTTCCTACACAGAAAAAGTATAATTCGATTGAGAGGGCTTTTAACTACAAACTGGCGCTCAACAGGAAGCTTTCGGAGCTTCTTAAATAGCTAAAACCTTTTTTTTCACTTCGATGTTATCTCAATCCATTTTTCGAAAGTTTCCTCCCCTAATAGTGCATTCTTTACATCATATTCTAGGGAAGGGAGATCATGTAGGAGGCTCGAGACACGCCTCTTTTGAGCCCCACCTTTTGGCCGCGCCCCTTGCTATAGGAGACTAATCTCGCACATCTGCCATGTCCTCCGGTTCTCCCACTCTTCAGTTCCCGTTTTTTCTCTCTTCTTTTAGCGAAGGGTTCAGAAGATAATAATAATGTTTTTCAAGCGTTTTTCGTTGGACTGGAATTCGAACCAGCTTAACCGGTATTGCCCAGCACTTCACTACGCTTCCAACTGGGATCCGATGTCTCACGGAGAAAACGAAATCCTTCTGAACGAGATCACGTTTTAACGCAATTTTCAAATGTTCATATATCTCTAAAACAAGAAACAACCATGCCCGTTGCTTTTTCAGTCCAACATAGAATGTTTTAATTAATATTTCCTGCCTTTTCTTAGTCATACATTTTTCCTTCTCAAGAAAGTTTGAGTTTATAGGAAATACGGGACCCTGTGCTTAAGCAGTTTGCATGTTATATATTAGAATGAGAAAACTCTCGTTGAACAAACTTCTGTAAATTCAAAAGATATGAAATGTTTGCACCAGCAAAATAAGGTCCCGCAATAATCCTTTTAATGCCCTCTTTCTTATTTTTCCTTGAAGTTTTCAATCTTGGAACGTCGATTACTCGATTTCGGGTCAGGAAGCTTTTCTTTTTCTCGTATTTTCCAGTCGTTTATGAATACTTTTCCCTTTTTCATCCTTCTCCTTTGATTTCGGGTTTTCGATCACATAAAAACCACATTTTCCTTTCAGAATTTTCTTTTTATCAATGTTCAATGGTACTTTAAACACGTTCGATTTATTAGAAATTCGAAACTTTTCCGCTCCCTACAAACTTATGTTCATGGAAAACTTGATAAATAAGTCCGAATTTGAGAAATGAAGATATACTTTCCTCCTGAATAAAAAAACAACAGTAATAAGCTGCAGACTTGAAATCACTGTGAAAATCGATATCCATCACATTTTATTATGAAACCAAGTGCTTCCAAAATAAAACTCACACTGTGAATGTATTATTGAATAAGAAGAAGTTCCAAAGAGTTTTGTATCAGTTCACACATATCATCATGAAAAAAAGTAGAGTAGACTTTTGAAAGTGGCGCTTCCAGCATTGGTGCATACACAGTTCACGCTCACGATCGTTTGCAGACATTGAACTCCTTTTGTCATCGTTTTCTTTTTGTATGGATATTCTGGCATGAATTCATCACATCGTACTTTTTAGTGTTTTCTAGATAATATATCCCTTTCGTTTCCCTTTTTCACCACTTCTGAATCATTTTCAACTTGTTTGAAGAGTTTTTATATAAAAAAACTTGTCCCATCACGATTTTTTTATCGATTTTTTTACTGACAAGAAGCAAAGATAATATTTTCAGCACCCACCCATTTCTCTTGTGGCCGGCATTACCAACTGTTTGTGTAAAAAAAAAATGGCACTTTTCACCGTTTAAAAACAAAAACAACAATTTTATTAACTCTTTTCAAATCAAAGTGTTTCAGAAATATTTACAATGATTAATTGTTTTATTATATATAACTTCTTTTCAAAAATTTATAATCAAAGTAAGGTCAATAAAAATTGTTAATGAATAAAATCAAAATAAAAAAACACGAGCCGGCCGCGATAAAAAGAGAGGAGTGCACGAAAGAGAAAAAAAGAAAAAGCTGTACAAAAATGGAAGGAAGCGGATGGGCCAACAAATGATTATTTATCACTGTGAGTTTTTCTATTTGTCTTGCAAAAACACGAATGCGTTACCCTTTGTAAAATGGTCGCTCATGAATCGCGCCATATATCAGGCGTCAAAAATATCAGGCGTCATTGAATCCTTCAACCGTAGCTAATCAGTACGGAGAAGGCAAATATTTACGTTCCGGAATGGTTTTCTACGACAATCAGCTCGTCTCCGAATGATGAGAAGCACTAACTGACCATGTTAATAAGTAATTGGAGCCATCTTAGAATCGTAGCTTGGTGAATTTGAACTTTCAGAAGTGTATTTTTACTGTCAGAATTGTTTTGAGTCAAATGGATCAATAGAAAAGTTTAATTTCATGCTTCTTTTCCAAGAACTTGAATTTTCAGCAATGAAGCAGGTGGCGAAGGCGAAGGCGAAGGTGATGAAGATCGAGAAAGGAGAGATTCTATTGATCGAAATGAGCAGCAGGAGCTAATGAAGGACAAAGAGCGAGAAAATCCTCAGAACAGGTCCATTTTTGAACTTCTTTGTGAAATAAGATGAAGATGGTGTTTCAGCGAGGGCGAAGAAAGAGATGAAGCAGAAGGAGCTCAAAAATGAAACCTCTTTGAGCTTGAAAATGGGCTTCCAGAAAGCGAGAAGAGCGTTTCGTCTCTAGCTGAGGTGAATTTCCATGGAATCAGTTCAAAAAGTTTTTAAATTGTTAGCTAAAAAGAAAAAGGGGGCTCATTAAGTTTTTAAATTTTTGTTGAGTTGAGATGAATTTGAATTTTTAGCGTTGGAGACGGGAAACAACAACAAGAAGGGCATGAAGAAGACGTCGACGTCGAAGAAGTCGTCGAAGAAGTGGAAGAGAAAGAAGGAGCTTCTTCTGAAGTGAACGAACGTCCACGGCTTGAAAATGATGTTCAGGCGTTCGAGAACAACGATCCGAGGTAAATTTTAACTGCATCAGCTCGAAAGTTTATCCTTTTTTTAGCCGAACAAAAAGGAAGATTTAACTTTTTAAAACTTTTTCTTCTTCGCAACGTTCATCTTTCAGCGACGGCGAAAGAGAAGAAGGAGAGGGTCAACGGGGCGACAGGAATGAGCTTCCTCAGCTCGGACAGGAGCTCATTGAGGGAGGTCGAAGAGCCGGAACCATCTCAGTCGAGGTGAGAATCAGTTGAACCTTGTCTAAAAGTAGACTCAAATGTTAAATTGAAAAGAGTTCGCATACAGTCTGATTTTTGGTTGTCAAATAGCTGGCTCCGCCACTTTTAGGGTTTCTTATAGGGTTGTTCCCTAGAGGGGACCCTCGAAGGTTGCCCCTACAGTGACCAATCTGGAGATGTTAAGTAGTGTGTTCCGCGCGAAAAGGTTACTTTTTGAAAAAATATCAGGATAAGAAAACTACCGTGAAACAACTTTTTTGCGCTTTTACTCCAAAACTGCAAGAAAAAAGGTCTTGAAACGAAATATAGCCAATTTTAATTCTATCCGTCGACGGTGTTTCGAAAAAACAGGAGAAGATGACGTGGGATATGCTAGAATGAAAAAGGAAAGTAAAAAAAAATGCAGCGCTTTTAAAGGAGCTTCATTACGCGGAATAAAACATCGACGCGAATGATACCGTATCCCCAAGGGTGGAGTTACCTTTTTGAAGTTTGAAATCTCAATCTGGAGAATCCTTTGTATTTTTTCTGAGAGTAGGAATCATAAAATGGTCCGTTTTTCGCGACCTGAAAAGGGCGGGACTCTCTGAGCCCTCTCATTTTGAACTGTTCTTTTTTTTGCTCTGGCCGGCGAGGAAAGAGAGACACTAAAAAGATCAAGTCGCGGCGGACGGACTTTGAAAAGAATAGTTTTTCTCTGTTTAAACGGAAAATCAAGTTGATTTTTTAGCGATGAAGAAGGATCGGCTCTGACTAATATGGTTCCCGATGAGATTGAACCGGAAGAAGTCGGAAATGAAGGTCCTGTTCCGTCCCAAAGTCATGACAATGGGTCTCCAGTGTCGGGATACGAGGAACTATCCAATTCTGGAGAGGTTCCGCCGAAAAATCCCCTCACAAGGTTTGATTGTTTCTCAGTTTACATGTGAATAAAGCTGGCGAAGAGTCTGCCGATTAAAAATAGTTGACAGGAGTCATGCTTTTTGAGTTGTAAATTGAAACTTAGATAACGACACAAAGGCGTGGCCAGAAAAACTGCGGGCCATTTTTAAAAATCCTGGAAAAAAATTTGGATAACACTGAAAAAAATTTGATTCGAAGCTTGCAATGGATGGTCATTTTACTCCCAAATTTCACATTTTTATCCATTTTTAACAGGTCGAGTCAAGTTCCGGCGAATGAAGTCGTTTCTTCCCCCGCGAACTCGGTTCATCGTTCGTGCTCGGTGTTGGTTCTTTTTATTTCATTTTCCAGAATTTTTGAACGCGAAACTGCTAAAAATAAAAAGAAAAATACGATTCTTTTAGGCCTATAAAAGAAGTTTTATCAGAAAAAAATTAATCTGGTTTCAGAGAGACGGAGCCCGCCTACATCGAAAGTCCTGAGTGAGTTTTATTTTTATTTTTGCAGAAAATCGAGTTTTACGATTTATAAATCGAGGTTAATCAACTAAAAGAAATGTAAGACCTAAAAAGACAGATTTATTGAGACTTCCCGCGTAAATCTACATGTGAGCCGAAAAAAATTCGCATTGGAGCGCGAGTGTACATCATCATCGATTCTTTTATATTTTAACTGGAAAATCAAATCTTTTTTTCAACTTCTTCTGTTTTTGAATTCATAATGCAATAACACATTAACATTAATAAAGTTGAAAAGGTATTGGATTTTTAATTGTTCGATAATCAGGCTTCGAAAAAAGTTATGAGAAATGGAAATTTTTGGACTGAGCTACTTTTTTCAATATTTTCAGCTTCGTTCATTCAAAATCAATTTAATTGCATTTTCCAAAATGTCACATGGTTCTTTTACAGCTTGGGGCCAGAAGATGCCGGCAGAACGATGTCTCCGGTTCGTTTCCTTCATTTTTCATTGAAATATGCATTCTATTTCAGTTTTTGTTTTAAAAAATTGTTTTTCAGAGGGACTTTGAAAGAGAAAAACGCCAATTGGCCACTTTCTCGCGCGATTTGGGCTATGAGGTGAGATTGACTTGATAAAACAATCACATTTAAAAAATGTAAACGTAGTATCATTTTTCAACCTTTTTCTGATCACAAATTTTCCGCGTTTAAAAAGGTTCAGCGAAATGTTAAGGGATATAGAGCTACTGAAGAGATTTCTCAAGGTACCGTACTTTTTGTTAACAAAGTCGATTTTTCACGCTTTTTGGTATTTGGTTTTAAAATTTTTCGATTTCAGTGCCAGACAGGACCCAGTTATGAGGTATCCGACGAACACTGAATTTGTTCGAAGTTATCAAGAAAAGATACGTCGTTGGAAACGCCTTCGATTTTTCCAAACCCACGGGGTCCTTCTCCACAAATGCGGCCGGTCAGGGAGTAGTGGTAAATCTGGCAAAAATTCAAACGAGAGAACAGTGGTGGTCTGAAGAGACTCCAGACGACTAGAGAGAACACTTTTCTCTTGCTTTTATTTCAATAATCCTTTGTTTTTGAGTCGAGAAAACGGCGGGTGAGAGACTGTAGCGACCTGAAGAGACGTCAGAGAAGCGAGAGTGTTTTTTTTTCTCTGACATCTCTCTCGTTGAGCCTTTTCTCGAGAAGCTAAAGAAATGAAGGTTCCTCTTTTTCTCTGGCGTCTCCTTGGAACAGCGCTATTTTTTCCTCCCTTAAGATGAAAAAATGGCTTCTCCTTTCGAAAAGAGAACAATGAAGTCATAGTTTCTTTTTTTCTCTGGCGTCTCTTCAGATTGTCGGTGTTCTCTCGTTTTCATATTTTCATCAACATTTACTTTGAATTTTCGAACAAAAAAGAGAAAATCGATGATTTTTACATATTGTTTTTCGAAACAGAGTGGTCCCTATTGGGGTAAATTTAAGGTGGCCCCTATAGGATTTCAGCCCCTAAAGCTCAAGTGGGCCCTATAGGAGTCTTTCAATTTCATTCAAAAAAAAACGATAATTCATTCAGTTTTCCCCATGGAAACGCTTCTTCGCTAAGAGTTCATAATAATTAACCGTGTCCCCTGAAGTCACCACTAGCTAAAAACCCTATAGCAACAACTTTTGCAAGCTTTAGTGGCTCTTATAGAGGTTGATAGACTGGTCCATAAAGTTGCCCCTATAGGGACCACTTTGGAGACCGAAGATTGTTTTTTTGTATTTTTTCAACTTCTTCGGATTCAGAAGGTCCTAAAGAACCTCTGTACAAAATTTCAACGAAAAAGCTTGAACTTTTGCACTTCAAGCGAGAGAACAGTGGCCGTCTGAAGAGACGCCAGGCGACGAGAGAGCGACTATTTCTCTGCCGTCTCTTGAGACCATCTGTTCTCATCTTGAACTGAAAAAAAGTCCATTAAAATCAGTTTTTTTTCACATTCAACTCGAAAACGGCAAAAAAAAATGATTGGATCCAAAAATGGTTTTTCCTTTCAGAAATCGACCCCGAGGAAATTGATAAGCAATAATTTCGATATCGATTTCCTGATGGCTAATCACTCGGTGGAAGAGCAGGCCCAAGAAAGAGTCCCAGAAACATCGGTACTTCTTTGACTTTTCAAAAAGCAACCCTTTGATTTTTGAAAATTTGTGAAGGTTTTGAAACCCCCTCCGACGGTCCCAGGGCCGTAAAAATTTTTCCAAGGTTAGAGGATCCTTACTTAGGAGCTCCAGAGTGATCCCTATAGGGGCTTAGGGGGAGCTTATTTCTTCAGTTTTTCCTGTGGAAATGCTTCTTCGTTCACCAGTTAGAGTTCATAACATGTCCCCTATAAGGGCCGCCAACTGAAACCCTATAGGGACCACTTTTGAAGCTTTAGGGATCCCTATAGGTAAAGTGGTCCCTTAAAGGATTATTGAAAAAAAAAACACCTGTAGGCGCCGAAAAGTGATCTTTATAGGGGTAAAATCAAGGTGGTCCCTATAGGGTCTTAGGGTCTGACTCCTTAGCCCCTAAAACTCAAGTGGACCCTACAGGGGTCTTTCAATTTTCATTCAAAAAGTGTTTTCACTATAAAAGGCTTTTCCGCTTAGAGTACATAACAATTATCGACTAGCATGCCCCCCAAAGGGGCCACTTTTCAAGCGTTAGGGATCCCTATAGGGGTTGGTGAATTGGTCCCTATAAGGATTAGGGAAAACCCTATAGTCTTAACAATTATTGACTAGCATGTCCCCTATAGGGACCACTTTTGTAAGCTCAGTTTATAGACCTGTCAAAGCCGGCCGCGCAGCTCTGCTTTTCCAAACTGAGCCTAAGGATAATAATAAAACAGACACAGTAGCTGATTTTTCTGACAATTTATATCATTAAAAAATTGACCTTTCTTCAGACTCCTCAAGTCGTGAAGATGAAGGATGGCGTTGCTGTTTTGGCTCAGCCCAGGAAGCAAAGAAACCAGCCGGTATGTTTAGAGGTATTTTGGCGTTGGTTGCATTGGGAATGGCTCGAGGCAGAAGTCGGAAAGAAAATACTATTAGAAATGTCACAATCGCGATCTTTTTTGAGTAGGAAATTTAATGCGTCCAGCCATTCCAAATGTTGTTTACAGGGGAGGTCTCTTACTTGGCGCTTTGGAATTTTCTACAAATTTGCTCAAACTATCTCTGAAGGTTTCTTTGACGACCCATCCAAGTCGCAACCTGCCCCAGCTTCTAGCTTTCGAGATAATGATTTTTGAAGTTTGAAAAATTAGGCTTAAAATTTCAAATCAAAAAGACCTCCCTTGTTGGATTTTTCAACAGTGTCGTAAGAATAGTGTAACGATTATTAGTGATCAGAGCAAAATTGTAGCCATTTTCATTGGAGATCTGCTTTATCCGACGACTTTTTCACTGACCAGGAAACGTTTTTTCCCGGGACTTGTTTTTACCAGGGAGCGTTTTTACCCCCCGGTTGAACTTTTGCTGAAACTTTGCTGAAGCGTACTTTGGGACCTTTTGATTGCAGATCAAGAAAAACATTTCTCGTAACAGATTTTTTTTTTCAAGTTATGGAACTTCAAAGTGTGCAAAATACGCAAATTAGGCCAAAAACGCGCTATTTCGGGCTTTTGAAGTGTCCTAACTCGAAAACGAGATCTATTGCGAGAATTTTTCTTTCTCTCTGGAATCAGGGGTCTTAAAGTACCCTTCAGCAAAGTTTCAGCAAAAGTTCAACCGAACGGGGGTGAAAAAAACGTTCTCTAGTGAGTGTCTTAACCTAGGTTGCACGAGAAGTGATTTTTCAAAACCAAAACGAGAAAATTTCTCCAAACGATTTCGAAACGAGATCGAGACAAATCTCGTGCATCCCTGGTTTTATTTTGGAAGTCTGCAATTTCCCCTCATTTAATTTGCTCGTAGTGCATCCAGTACATCACATTCCACGCCAATCTTTGAAAGTACTTTTTGAGAAAAATGTCTCAATATGCGACCTTTTCAACATTTTTGAAGCAGTTGTTGTATATTCTTGAGTGCGGATAATTTCAAAATTCCAAAAATCAAATAAAACTTTTTGGGTGATTTTTAGGTCAGGCTTTTCCCTGAAAGTAGAAAGAACTTTAAGGGACTCAATACCAGATTTTTGAGAAAAAGCGCCGAAACCATAAAATGAGATGAGTCAGATTGATTTTAATATTACCTTTAAGCCCCGGGCGGTACCGTTGGCAGCTTTGGACCAAGCCAGCTCATCGGGCGCTTCCAGCTCCCGGCAGCCCCAGAGCGTCGCTTCTCCCGACGACATGCCCGGAGGATCGGGCACCTTCTTCGATCCGGTGCACCAGGTTGAGAAATTTCCTTTTGAAACAGTCCGACCCGTCTGCGCTCTATTTTCCCTCGCCGACTTTAGAAAAAGATAATCTTGTCGGATGCGCTATAGTCTTTTTCGCGTGTCTGCGTCTCTCTGTTCTCTCACCACCTAGGGCTAGCGAAAAATGAAAATAGCATGGTAACATGAGAGAGAGTCGCAGAGAAGTTACGCGCTTTCAAGTCAAGAAAAACGGACATTGAAATTATCTTGGCATGCTGGAAAAGTCGATTGGTTTTTTTTAATTTTTGAAGATCTTTGAGCTCGAAATGGTTTAGGTCTACATATTCTTGAGTGCGGATGATTTCAAAATTCCAAAAAAAATCAAATAAAACTTTTTGGGTGTTTTTTTAGGTCAGGCTTTTTCCCTGAAAGTAGAAAGAATTTTAAGGAACTTAAAACCAGATTTTTAGTGCCGAAACCATACGTGAGATGAGCATAACTGACAGCAAAAATTTTTTTGATTTGAACGTATGATATAAGATCGGACGAGCTTTCCAGCGAGCACTCTGAAAAATTTTTAAATGGTTTCTTGCCAACCCCCTCCCTCCATTTTCTCGTTTTTTTGCTATATCTCCCCTTTTTCAGGTCCCACCGAGACTATCTCATGTATGCCCGAAACTTTTAATATTATATGGTAATACGTATTTTTCAACACCTTGAAAAAAACGTTCAAAAGCTTGAAACTTGAAAAAATCGCGATCTTGAAAATCTCTAGATCTACAAATCTTTCCAAAATTTTGTCCATTCCTTGACCGTGTTGAAATCGGGCAGATTGGACTCGCACTAGTCTTGCTCAGCTCGGGGCTTGCAGCTTGACCTAGACCTAATATCTTGCTGGAGGAGCCAGCGACGGTTTGCAAAGTGGAAAAAAAAAAGAACAGATTGAAATTCCATTGGCAAAAAAGAAAGTTGGAGTGATCGAAAAGTCCGTGCAATATTAATGCCCACCCCCGTACATGTGAATCTTGATCTGTTGCCCTTCACAATGCAGATTTTTTTTCTTTTTTTAATTTTTAAGAATTCAAAAGTTTTCAGGTGAAGAAGTTCGCTTGCCTCATCTGCCAAAAACCCTATGTCGATCCCACAAGAATCGACCAACACTCGGAAAAAGCCCATGGAGTGGTCAGTTTTTATTAAAAGCAAAAACGGTTTTTGGCGCGTCAGCATTGCTGGTTCATCCTCCGAAATTCTCTCTCGAAGAAAAAGCTTTTTGGGCTACTCAATTTATTTCTCAATAGAGCAGCTTCTGTTATTTATTCGTAGAGAATTTTGGAGGATGAACCTCGAAAAAAATTCGGATTGCATAGGCTAAGTCGGAAAGGGTGGGAAAAAGGTTCTATAGAAATGTTCCCTTTTGCTGCCTTTTTGCGCCATTTTATCGGCTTTTGTGCACCATTTTTGCTGCCTCTTTTCCACCATTTCTTGATCTTTTTGAAATCCCAGAAAAATGGAAAACTCTTTCTTGAGCCTCTCCCTTTTAGTGGCTATTATTCACCTTACCGACTTTGCCCGAGGAAAAGGTTCTATATTTCTGACTTTCAATCCTCCTAACTTTGTTATTTTCAAGTTTTAGAGAAACTGTTAGATTCCTGCGGTTCTTAATTTTCTTCCTTTCTCTGACATGTCTGCGCTCTCTTCTCCCTCAATAGTGTTAGAGAGAAGTCGTCAAGGAAGAAGAGAGCGCAGAGAAAAAGACTGTTTTAAGAGCTGGATATATAACTTATTCACGGCTAGTTTGGGACGCAAAAAGGCGTGGCCTGTCTCTGCGCTCTCTATTAACCAGGCTTGTATCTTTTCTCAACATGTCAGGACCCTTTTTTCGATGGCTCAAACCGGCCGTGAACCAACTTCACACAGCATTGGAACCATCTTCGATTTAAACTTTTTATTTCACGTCTCAACTGTGAATTTTTTTCTGAATCTTCTAGACGGATCTCTCATCGTTGCTCGGCGCTTTTTATAATAATCAAGAGATGATCAACCGCATTTCGGTCGCCGTTACTCAGCAGGTGGCGACAGCGAGGAATCGGCAACGTGGTAAGCTAGAAATCGACAGAAAATTGAATAAGTGTGAAGTAACTCGGACGGCAATTGATTATATGTTAATTAGGATAACCATAAAGCCTACCACGTGAAAGTACCGTATGTCGAATCGTTCGTATATTTTTTTCAGATGCATGTGAGTGCCCAACCTGCGGAGAGGCGCATTTCGTTCTTGCTCCCTTGCAAATACATATGATGCAAAAACATAGCCATGTGAGTTTTTCAAAAAAATTTTTCCAATTTCTAGAGAAAAAATCATTTTTAGCTTTCTTAAAAATCCAATTTTAAAAGTTTTAAAAGGGTCAAGCAAGTTTAGCGAAATGGTATGTAAGAGCTAGAGAGTTTAGAGATAAAATCATTAAATTACCAGAAAATAGTTCAATTTTTCAATAAGATCCTCAAAAACACTTTTTTTGTAAGGTATTTTGTTGAGAAAAAAACTTAATTATGTTCAGAAAAAAACGGAAGAAGTCGCAACTGGAAAGATGCAGCATCCTGTTTCGCGCTGAGCTGCTTTTTAAAATGTTGGAAAACTATAAAGGTGCAGAATAAATTTTTTTACTAACGAATTCGATGATATAATAATGCAAAAATTCAAACACATTTCTTTGAAAAAGGTCAAAACGAAGTACCTGATGGTAGGAAGGAATTTTGGATCCACGAATATTTGTGAGCGTTAATTGTGCATACACCAATCTTGGATGCTCGAATCTTTGAAAAATTTGAATCTTTGAAAACAAATTCTTGGGAATATTCACTTCTTTTCTGATTTTTCATATATTTTTCAATTTTTGAATACGGAAATTGATGGAGAATGTATACAAAGTGAATGAAAAATGTGGTAGCCGTTCTGCAGGTAATCTTTGACAAAATGTATGCGAGAAAGACGCATTATTTGATAAAAAAAGTTAGTTGAAAACAATTACACAGTGTTCATTTGAGGTCGAAACACGACATCCTCACAATAGAACGACAAAGGAAAAAATGAAAGAAACGAAAAGATGATAATTCAAAAAGAGGGTATATCCCCAAGAATCGTTTTCAAAGATTCAAATTTTCAAAGATTCGAGCATCCAAGATTGGTGTATGCACAATTAACGCTCCCGAATATTCGGGGAACCAAAATTCCTTCCTACTATCAAGTGCCTTCACGGAACCAAAACAGTGATTTTTTTGAGTCCAAAATGAAAACTAAAGGGAAAAACTTTGTTCTAAACAAAGGGATTTACCATGGGAATTTCTTTATTTTTCGAAATAAACATAATTGTTATATCGTCACAAATTTTTCATTTTTCTGAACTCAAAAATCACTTTCCATCCAAAACGAAGTATCGGGGGAAGCAGGGATGAACTTCGAAAAGTCACGGAAGACACCAATGAAAAATGGCTATATTTCCATTATTTCAGTTCTCGTTTTTCTCAACGAATCTGCAAGAGTTGACTCCTTTCAAAAACCTTAACTACTGCTTTTTCAATTTCTTTCAAAAAGTACGTTTTCATAAACCAGAACAAGAGTTGGATATTGATACGAGATCTCGTCTCGTGCATCCCTGGCGTACACATCAGACCAGGAGCATCGATGTCGTTGCGCAAAAACTGTTCAGTCAAGACGCCAGATGACAAAAGCAGTTTACACTTTTGCGAAACCCCTCTTCTTGAAAGTTCCTCAAATTATATATCCGTGTTGAGCAATACCTTCGAAAACGAGATGATCCCAGGGCGACCCGCCAAAAACAACTAAATATCTTTGCTTTGAAATACGCGAAGCGAAGCAAATATCTTCCCACGGAAACTCAGAAGTCAAGAAAAACAAAACTTGAACTGAAGTAACGATGATTTTTATTGATGGAAACAAAATATAACATATTCAAAGAGAAAAATTGATACAAAATTTTCAAATATTTTAAATAAGAATTTGCATTACGCAGCCAGCGGAACCTTTGGGAATCCTTCGAGAAGTGTGCAGTTCCAGCCGATGACACTGATCGTGCCGCAATTATTTGTTCAGAGAGGAGTTTAGAGAACATCAAAACGTCCAGAAGAATGAAAAACTAAAGTATGTTCTGCGGAAAAAACAAGTCACTCAAATTTTCTTTTCTTTTCCTCGAAAAAATCTTTCGGTGTAACAATATTTGTCATTTTCTAATGAGTCTCAATTAGCTCTACAGTCTCATTTGATATTAAAATCAATTAAACCTGTATTTCTTTTTGTGATCCAAGTTCCCCGAGGAGATAGACTTCCATTTTCCGGCCTTATTCAATAAGAAACATCACTATCCCGTCCAACATGTCTGTAAAAAGTTATTTTTTTCAAAGTGTCTTTTTGAATACTGATGAACTTTTTAATTTTTACCTTTCTTATCTTCTCGAATGCCATTCAAGGTGAGTTATCACCATCCCGAGTAACATTACTGAAATTATAAAAAAATAAGTTTTCGTCCGTTTTTTTCTCCTAAGTTTGACAAAAATGTATTTAATATTACCTTGCTGCACGAAAACGAATCCGCCCATTTTTCTACGGAACTAAGCGTGTAGGACATCTTGAATCGATGTTTGTTTAAAAATTAAAATTAACTGGAATTTTACGCCAAAAGCAGTGAAATCTTTCGGTTTCCTGACTCCGAGCTTGCTCCTGTGTTCCTTCTCCTGAAGGCCCACAGCCGTTGTATAATCGTTAAGAGGGTCCCGGTAGCTGAAAAATTGATCAAACGGCTCAAAGAAGAGAAAAAAGTTCACACTATTGGTTGCATTTTCCGAAGGCGGATGGGGTGAGCGAGAAATTTATCCCACCGCAAGACACGTTCTTCCACTTCTGGCCGCCTCATTTGAGGTGGCATATCACCATTATGACCAATATGACTGAAAAAGTTATTGACAAACCTTTATCAAATTTGGTTAAAGTTTATAATTCACCTCTGTTTTTTTCTAATGCCGAAGCAAAAACTCACTGTTCCAAGTGGCGGACCACCATATCAACTAAAAATACCTGAAATTATGAAAATTTATTGAAATACTTTCTAGGTGAAAAAGCTCACCAGAACGATGTTTCTATGACGTTGAAATTGGGAGCCATGAACCCGGGGCTTGTTCTCGTCCCTGAGAGCTTTGGCGATGGCGGTCGAAGTGGACGCCTGAATGCATAAATATTGAGAAAGAAGGCAATTCAGCTGTGTTATAGTTGATACATTGTTTGGAGACGAGAAAGTGAAAGCTTTTTTTGAATGCTTTATTTGTCTTTATGTTCAATGCTAAAAGACTCACTTCGCTAGCTTCTCATCGTTGAATCCCGAGCGATGGATTACGATGCGCGGAAGCTGTCCACATCTTTCGAGGACGAATTTCACCGCCTTCACGAAGCTTTGTGCGGTGAGATCACTATCTCGACCAACCTATCTGGAAAAAAGTTTTACATTAAGCCTCTTTTTAACTTCAAGTTTATTGATCTCTACTTTTTTAACTACCGAACCCAACAAGAACTCACTTTTGTGCACTGTTGATGGTGACGAATCACCATCCCGACGAACATCGTTGTCAGATCCTTTGCCCGACGAGAACACGTAGCGAGGAGACATCGAGAATTCGATGCCCCCAACAGCTCCCGCGACCACGACACTTTGTCGTTGTCGGGCTCTTTCTCGCGCAGCATCCCGACAAGGATATCTGAAATAAAAACGATGAGTTGTCGCTCTCCTTCTAGTTCCGTTAAAGGTTTCAAGTCTTACTTGTATTTTTCCTCCTCTTCCGAAGCCAACGAGAAAGATGGACGCCCGCATTCGAGCACCATTCAAGGTGTCGGATCACTATCCCGACCAAGATCCCTGAAATTTATAAATCGTTTCCTAACCAAAGTTTGATGCAGAACAAAAGCGCGTTTTCCATTTCCGCTTTGTTTTTCTTGTTTCTTTTGAGTTTTCACAAAATATCGATCAGCAGAGCAGGTACTTGAAAAAAAAGGATAGATGGAAATTTCGCTCTTGTCTTAGGATTCGAATTTCGTTTCGAATGGGATAGAAGTGGTAGAGCACTGGTAGATGTTCCGTTCCAAAAAAACGCAGCTTCAGAAACTTCCAGGAAGATCGGATTCCTTATAAAATTCACAAAATTGCGTTTTTTAGTATCTTTTGTGACGGTTCTGTATGCTCAAAAAATGCCTTTAAAAAAACCTCTATGACCAGTTCCTTTACAATAAATAGTGGAAACATGAGTTTTCGTTGTTTTTAGGACTTTCTTTATATGCTTCATAGACAAAATCGTATTTTTAATGTAGAAACTTTTAAAAAGGCTCACCACAGTGTCCTCTTCCGCGTTCGTTTTTCTTCCGCTCGCGGAGATTGTCGGCTCAGGATTATTTGAGGTTCTCAGCGGTCTGCTTCGCGGCATGCTCGCTTTCGGTGACGTCTTTTCTCAAGCTGTAAAATTTGACGGAGTTTTTCGAAAAAAAGTGCAAACTTTTAAAAGCTTAGCGAATGGAGCGAACAATTGCTATCAAAAAAATTTTCTGGATAGCCATCCCAAACACCGAAAATGCATGAACTGAAAATTCGGCAGAATCACGCAGAATGTTTCCGAAGGTTGAACGAATATATAAACGGTGGCGACGTATATTAGGCATCCAGGAAGCAATGGAAATCTATTAGAATCAGCCGGAGAATTGTCAAAAGAAGACGAAAAAAGTTCCGTAACATTTCGAAGTTACTCTTAAGTGGTCAAGTTATTGTCAGAAAGGCAACAAGTGTGAAGTTTTCATTCTATAAATCTTTCACAGACGCGATGAAAAATGATTTTTTTGATTTTTTTTTCAGTAATTTTATATTAAGAATATCTATAAGACAAAAAAATAAGTAAGTAAAAAGTCAAAAAAATGGGTTTTATGTACACCCTGAAACAGTTCAAGTTGATATAAATTGATAAAGTTTCAAAGTAACTTTTTGTATTTCAGAAGTTGAGTTCTTCCCAGCAATGAGCGAGGCCGAAGAAGGATATTCTCAGCAGTCACAGGTCAGTGAAGAAACTATTTTTCCTTATCAAAAGGCATTTTCATCCACTCCGAATTTTTGACCCTTCGTTATTAGCTCCGTTTACTGGATCGATGTCGTTTCGACGGCTAAGAATTTTTCGATCCATCTACTTTCATTTCTTTCTTCTTTCATTTCTTTTCAGTTATTTCAAATTAAGAAATTAGATTTTTCACTGGCACACCTTAAATGATTACTTTTTTTGAACAGTTTTGTTAGTTTGAATTTTTGTTGACGTATTGCTCTTTTTCTGTAAAAATTTTTCACCGTTTAAATAAATTTTTAATCAGCCAAGTAATTTATTCATTTTCGAAAAACAAAATAATGTAGAAACAATCAGAAAAAAATTGTGGGATTTGGAAACAAAAAGCAAAAACATCTGTCACTAAATAGTAATAGTCAGGATCAAAAAAACCCTTATAGTAGAACAATTCTTATATTTCTAAAGAGAGGGAGACATACAAACACAGAATTACTGAATGGGGGAGGTCTTCATGTAAACTACACAACCCTACGCCTTCAGAACATCCACAAATGATCTCCAATGGTTAGAACTTCCATATTTGAAAATTTACAATACTTTTGCACGCTCTTTATTCGCGTGCTGAAGAACTATTGATACGGAAAAAACACGTAATTCAGGACGTGCGGACTGTTGACCAAAAACAAAAGAAAATATTTGCGAGAAAGAGTTCTGGCCCCGGTCGAATTATTTTTCCCCACAACCTCCACTGCGTCCGTTTTTCGAAGCTCCACCACGTGGTTTTGTCTTTCAATTGAAGAAAAATCTTCAAGTGTCTCGGCGCGCTCTATTTATGAGCCCTCGCTTCTACCTGAAAAATCAAATTCAATATGCAGAATTGCGAAAAGATGCTTACGCCTTCCGTTTTTCACGTTTTTAGATGTGACATCACCATCATGTCCAACATGTCTGTAGAAGTTATTTCTGAAAGTGTTCTGAATATTGAGAAACTTTTTAATTCTACCTGTCTTATCTTCTCAAAGACCGTTCAAGGTGAGTAATCACCATCCCAATCAACATTCACAGCCGCTGTATGACCGTTGAGAAGGTTCCGGTAACTGAAAAAGAATCAGAAGGCTCAAAAAAAGTGAGAAAAGTTCTCACTTTGGATTCTCTGTCTCCGTAGGAAAACGAGATGAGCGAAAACTTTCTTCCGCCGTTCGTTTCGCAGTTCAAAGTGGCGGATCACCATATCAACAAACATACCTAAATTATGAAAATTAATTGAAAAATCCTTCTAGGTAAAAAAACTCACCAGACCGATGTTTCTATGACGTTGGAATCAGAAGCCATGAATCCGTCGGCATGTTCTCGTCCCTGAGAGCTTTGGCGATGGCGGTCGAAGTGGACGCCTGAATGCATAAATATTGAGAAAGAAGGCAATTCAGCTGTATTATAATTGATAATTTTTTTGGGAGATAAACAACTGGAAAGTTTTTTTCGATTGCTTCATTTTTCTTCATGTTCAATGCTTATAGACTCACTTCGCTAACTTCTCATCGTTGAATCCCGAGCGATGGATTACGATGCGCGGAAGCTGTCCACATCTTTCGAGGACAAATTTCACCGCCTTCACGAAGCTTTGTGCGGTGAGATCACTATCTCGACCAACCTATCTGGAAAAAGTTTTACATTAAGCCTCTTTTCAACCAACTTCAAAATTATTGATCTCTACATTTTTAACTACCGAACCAACAAAAGCTCACTTTTTGTTAATGGTGAGGAATCACCATCCCGACGAACATCGCTGTCAGGTCCTTTGCCCGACGAGAACACGTAGCGCGGAGACATCGAGAGTTCGATGCCCCCGACTGTTCACTCGACACTTTGTCGCTGTCGGGCTCTTTCTCGCGGAGCAGCCTCTTTCTGTAGACTTCCGCTTGCAGTCTATCCGCTGAAAATGGTTCCTATTTTCAATGACCAAGTCTATCAATTCAGCATGAACAATGAACTAAGAATAAGAAAGTTTTTGCCGAACCAACATGAGTATCTTTGATTGGAAATTGGAATAAAAGTTTTATTTCTTAGTATTTACTTTTTCGTCGCATCAGTCACATTCAAAAAAAGCTCTATTTTCAGCTTAGAATGGACTTCAGTCTGCCGAGATGTATGAATAATCAAGTTCAACATTTCCTTTTCATTTCTATACTGTAAGTAAAGGATTTGGGAGGCAACTCACCACCATGTCCTCTTTTCGCGTTAGTTTTTCTTCCTTTCGCGAGGTTGGGTAGCCGAAAGAAGAGGCGCACAGTTTCGAACGTCGATCGAGGTGATGCTATCACCATCCCGACCAAGATCACTGAATTTGAGAATTAGTTTTTAATCATATTTTTGGTGCTGAGACAAGACAGCGTTACATAAATTGGCCTTTTTGAATTCGAACAAAAGGGAACTGTTGTAAGAGTTGATGCTGTATCCTCAGAGAGTTACAAAAAAACGGGGTTTCGGTCAGAAACTTTCTTGTAAGGGGTTCAATCATTCTGAAAATTACTGGAGCTTCGAAGAATGTTGTTTTTAGCATTCTGCTGAAGTACTCAATTACAACACCATGTGGAAAAATGAGTTTTTGCTGTTTTCGACCTTTCCTTGTATATCAATGTTCAAAGTGATTTCGGCGATTTCAAAATAGACGCGTTATTTGTTTGAAAGGATTTTGAGAAGGGCAGAAAAACAAGTGAATCCCACAACGATACACTGCGTTCAATAAGGATAGGACCCTCTTGATTTTTGGACTTTCTGGCAAAAATACGGAAAGATATCAAAAATCTGTAAAGTGCCATTCGATTCAGAGTACAGAATAACCCCCAGAGCCAAACTTTCATTATCCTAGCACTTTTCCTACGAAAAATGCCATCAGAAAAAAACGGTTTTTCGACCGTTCAATAAAGGATTGGACCACCTGGAATTTTGACTTTCATTGGTATTTTTTTGGTCAATTTCTTTTCTTGATGAGTGGTTTTTGTTTTCATATCATTTGTTTCCAAGTTTTCTACGGTCTTCCTTTCATATATTCCAGGTTTAAAATATATTTTATATCGAAAATAGGGAAAAATGACGTTTTTTGAGTTTGCATCAAAACATTTGAGCGAGTGATTTTTCCAGTACTTTGAATGAACTTATCTTATTAATAGAGACATTTCAACATTCACAAAAAAGTTCAGAAAAAAATTCGTTTTAATAGTTGGTAAAACCAGTTACAAGATGATGTATCGTGACCAAATTTCAGACTGTCGTCGTTTTCGACCGTTTTTCTTTCTGTATGTGGGTTGGATTGGCGGTATACCGGTTTTGAAGAGAATTTTGAAGGTGCTATGAAATTTTTGAAGGTGCTATACCCACGTTCATCAAAGATATTGTTTCAAATAGAGGCGTTCGGCGAATTTTTCAGTTTGTCAAAAATAAAGCATTAATGAAAACGATGCAACAAAGAAAGTTCGAATATCAGTCGGAAGGGTGTGATTCCCGAAGATCGCCAATTTTTTATCCAATCCAACTAAGTGTCTTTTTGGGGTTGGAGCACTTTCAGAAACCCTTTAAAAAAAGTACATCGCCATTCCGACTACATACAGAAAGAAAAACGGTCGAAAACGACGACAGTCGGAAATTTGGTCACGATGCACCATCTTGTAACTAGTTTTCTAACTTTCAAAGTAGTGTTTTTCAAACTGTTTTTCTGAATGTTGAAGTGTTTTTATTAATCAGATAAGTTTACTCAAAATACTGGAAAAATTACTCGCTCGAATATTTTGATGCAAAACTCAAAAACGTCATTTTTCCCTATTTTCGATATGAAATATTTTTAAACCTGGAAGATATAAACAGAAAACCATAGAAAACTTGGAAACAAATGATATGAGAACAAAAAACCCTTTCATCAAAAAGAAATTGACCAAAAATTCCAATGAAAGTCAAAATTTCCAGGTGATCCTATCCTTATTGAACGGTCGAAAAAACCGTTTTTCGATGGCATTTTCGTAGAATAAGTGCTAGGATAAAGTTTGGCTCTGGGGGTTATTTTGTACTCTGAATCGAATGGCACTTACAGATTTTTGATATCTTTCCGTATTTTGCCAGAAAGTCAAAAATCGAGGGGGACCAGCGAAACCAATAAGAATCCTTCAAGGAGCGTGTAGTTCCAATCGATGGCGCTGATCGTGCTGAATTCATTTGTTCAAAGAGGAATTTGAAAGACATCAAAATGTCCATCAAAAATGAAGAATTGAATGAGTTTTTCCGGCAAAGAACTGTTCGCTCAATTTGTTTTTATTTTTTTCCTCCAGAAAATCTTTCAACGCAACAAGGTTTGTCATTTTCCTTAGAAGTTTTTAGTTCTCCATTTTTTTATTTAATAATAAAATTCCATTTCTCAACCTGTTTTCTTTTCCGTGATCCAAATTACCCGAGAAGGAAGACTTCCCGCTCCATGCGCCTTATTTTAGGTGTCGAATCACCATCCTGTCCAACATGACTGAAAAAAGTTATTTTTCTAAATGCCTTTGTCGAAAAATGAAGAAACTTTTAAATTTTTACCTGACTTATCATCTGGAAGGCCGTTCAAGGTGAGTGATCCCAATCAACATTGCTGCGTTTGCCCTGTGTTTTTCTAGAAGTCTCACAGCCGTTGCATGACCGTAACTGGGAAAGGATCAGAAGGCTTAAAAAAGAGATAAAAGTTCTCACTATTGTTTGTGTTTTCCGAAGGCGAATGGGGGTGAGCGAGAAGTTTATCCCACCGCAACACACGTTCTTCAACTTCTGGCCGCCTCATTCGAGGTGGCACATCACCATCCCGACCACTATGCCTGAAAAAAGTTTTTGACGAATCTTTTTCAATTTTTTAAAGTTTTTCAGCTCACCTTTGCTTTTCTGAAATGCCAAAATCAACAAAAACTTACTTCTGGTCACTGTTCCAAGTGGCGGATCACCATCTCAACAAACATACCTGAAATTATGAAAATTCATTAAAATACTTTCTAGGTAAAAAAGCTCACCAGACCGATGTTTCTATGACGTTGGAATCAGAAGCCATGAATCCTCGGCATGTTCCCGTCCTTGAGAGCTTTGGCGATGGCGGTCGAAATGAACGCCTGAATGCATAAATATTGAGAAAAAGGCAGTTGATTCTTTGTTTTGGAGACGAGAAAGTGAAAGATTTATTTTTGAACTCTTTTATTTTTCCTCAATGCTCAATGCTGATTGACTCACTCCGCTAATTTCTCATCGTTGAATCCCGAGCGATGGATTACGATGCGATGAAGCTGTCCACATCTTTCGAGGACGACTTTGATCAGCTTTCACGAAGCTTTGTGCGATGAAATCACTATCCCGACCAACATATCTGAAAAACGTTTTACAATAAGCCTCTTTTTAACTTCAAATTTATTGATCTCTACTTTTTAATTACCGAGACCCAACAAGAACTCACTTTTTGTGCACTGTTGATGGTGACGAATCACCCTCCCGGCGAACATCGAAGTCCGATTCTTTTGCCCGACGAGAACACGTAGACGATATTTGGGAAGTAAGCAAGTAAAAAGTACTAAATGACGACGAAACGCAAAAAATGGCTGGTCATAAAAATTTTTGTGTGTTTTCAGGATATGCTCAATGCAGAAGCCAGTGTTCAACAGCGTTTCACTGATGCTTGTAACATCCTTAGAGACAGAAATCGCCAGTAAACTTCTGGTTCTGAGGAGAGTACAGAACAGGCGGGGTACTTATTTTATTGTTTTATGAAAAAGCTAGAAAACGTGTTTTTATGAATTTTACTGGAATATTAGGATTTTGAAGATTGGAAAAACGGACGTCAAATCGTTCTATTTTGTTTGTTATTTCGGAAGCGATTATACTCTCAAACAGGGAATTATGAAAAATTAATAATGAAATCGCAGTTAATTTCAAAATCATCTTTAAAAAATATTTTACTCACGAATTTATACTTTCAACTCAACTTGAACCGTTTTCAGAAGTTTTCTCAATCTCAATCTTCTACGTTCGACAACCCGACAACTTCCAGCGACACGATCTTTGCAGCTTTCAACGACGCCATCAATTACGTGAACAATTGAAAAAAATAACCTCTGGACTGTTTTCTTGGCAAGAATGAAGATTTGGTCATTTTTCTGAGAGTTTTTCATTTACTTTGCACGAGTTTTACGTATGATAAAGTGTCTGAAGAGCAAATTGAGAAAGTTTTTCAATTTTTTTCCGATAGTTTTTGAAGAAGATTTTTCCTTTGTAAAACCAGAGTTCACAATTTTATTATATGGTATCACTTAGATTTTCATCCACGCCGAATTTTTGAACTTTCGTTATTAGCTTTTTCCGTTTACTGGATCGATGCCATTTTCGACGGCTAAGAATTTTCGATCCATCTACTTTCATTTCTTTTCTTCTTTTATTTCTTTTCGGTTAATTCAAGTTGAGAAATTAGATTTTTCACTGGCACACCTCAAATGATTACTTTTTGAACAGTTTTGTTTGTTAGAATTTTCGTTGACGTATTGCTCTTTTTCTGTAGAAATTTTTACCGTTTCAATAATTTTAATCAGCCAAGAAATTTATTCATTTCGACACAATAATGCAGAAACAATTGAAAAAGTTGTGGGATTTGGAAACAAAAAGCAAAAAAATAAAAATTTCTGTTATTAAATAGTCATAGTCAGGATCCATAACCATCACTAAGGAGGAAGGGGCATGTTGTCACCATAAAAACAGAAAAATCAATAAAAAGAAGTACAAAACCCGTAACATTTAGAACAAACAAACACAGAACTACTGAATGGGGGTGTCTTCTTTGTAAACTACACAACCTTACGGCTTCAGAACATCCACAAATCATCTCCAAGGTTTAGAACTTCCATATTCGAAAACTTCATATACTTTCGACGCGCGCTGTATTAGCGTGCTGAAAAAACTATTGACTTCTGGGCCCTGGTTGAGTTCGTTTACCCGACGTCCTCCGCATCTGTTTTTCCACCTTCCTCCACCCTATGCTGTTTTTCAATTGAAGAAGATTCTTCGAGAGTCTCGGCGCGCTCTAATTATGAGCCTTCGCTTCTACCTGAAAAATCAAATTCAATCTGCAAGATTGCGAAAAGATGCTTACGTATTCCGTTTTTTGAAGCTCCTCCACGCGGTTTTGTCTTCCAATTGAAGAAAAAGCAATGATCAATGCTGATTGACTCACTTCGCTAATTTCTCATCGTTGTATCCCGAACGATGGATTACATTGCGCGAAAGCTGTCCACATCCTTCGAGGACAACTTTCACCGCCTTCACGAAGCTTTGTGCGGTGAGATCACTATCTCGACCATCATATCTGAAAAAACTTTTCACGTGTCTTCAAATGGAAAGTGGATCTTCACATTTTTTTAATTACCGAACCCAAGAAGAACTCACTTTTGTGCACTGTTAATGGTGACGAATCACCATCCCGACGAACATCGCTGTCAGGTCCTTTGCCCGACGAGAACACGTAGCGAGGAGACGTCGAGAGTTCGATGCCCGCGACAGCTCCCGCGACCGCGACACTTTGTCGCTGTCGGACTCTTTCTCGCGCAGCAGCGTTTCCGCAAGAGGTGGGACATAACTATCCCGACCCGCATGTCTGAAAAAAAAAACAATTAGTTTGCATTCTTCTTCAAGTTTCTTCTTAGATGATCAATCTTACCTGGGTTTTTCCTCCTCTCCCTGAGCCACCGTGAAGAGGGGCACTCACATGCAAGAGCCACTGAAGGTGTCGGATCACCATCTTGACCAAGATACCTGAAATTGAGGAATCGTTTTTGATCGCATTTCGTTGCAAAATGAAAGCACGTGCACCACTACACCGTGTCCTCTTTCGCGTTCGTTTTTCTTCCTTTTGCAAGGTTGGGTAGTCGGAAGAAGAGGCGCCCAGTTTTGAACGCCAGTACAATGACTGTATCACCATCTCGACGAAGATCAATAAAATGGAAAAATTGTTTTTGATCAAACTTCTCACTGAAAACATTTATAGTGTCCAATTTCATCATCACTTTGTTTTTAATATTGGAATAACCGTGAAATGGACTAAATTTGAAGTATACCAGAAGCAACACAAGACCACGATACACTTATTGACACTGATCCGATCGAAAAGGAATTTTTGTAAAGGTAGATGCTGTCCCGTCAGAGAAGTTACGAAGAAAACGGAGTTTTGGTCAAAAACTTTTTCCTTATAAGAGATTCATTCGCAAAATTGCGTTTTTCATATCTTTTCTGACGGTACTTTTATGCTCAAAAAAATACCTTTAATAAAAAAACCTTTATGGCCTGTTCCCTCACAATACTTTGTGGAAAAATGAGTTTCCGCTTTTTGCACTTTTTGTATGCTTCATAGACAAAAATCATATTTTAATATAGAAACTTTAAAAATACTCACCACAGTGTCCTCTTCCGCGTTCGTTTTTTCTTCCGCTCGCGGAGATTGTCAGCTCAGGATTTTTTTGAGGTTCTCAGCGGTCTGCCTCGCTTGTTCGCTTTCGGAGACGTCTTTCCTTAAGCTGTTATATTTGACGGAGTTTTTCGAAAAAGGTGTAAACTTTTAAAAGCTTAGCGAGATGGAGCGAACAATTGCTACCAAAAAATGTTCTGAATAACCATCCCAAACACCGGAAATGCATGAATTGAAAATTCGGCAGAATCACGCAGAATGTTTCCAAAGGATGAACAATTATAGAAACGGTGGGTCGTATATTAGGCATCCAGAAAGCAATGAAAAATCTATTAGAATCAGCCGGAGAATTGTCAAAAAGACAGAAATAGTTTCCGTAACATTTCGAAGTTACTCTTGAAATGTCAAGTTATTGTCAGAAAGTCAACAGGTGTGGATTCAATAAATCTTTCACAGACGCGATGAAAAAAATGAGTTTTTGGATTTTTAGTAATTTTTATATTAAGAATATCTATAAAACCAAAAATAAGTGAGTAACAGTCAGAAATGAGTTTTTGTATACCCTGAAACAGCTCAAGTCATTACAAATTGGCATAATTTTACGCTCTCCGTAACGTTCCTAGAGAAATACAAAGCATTTTGAAGGTTCCTATTAGGGTTCTAATCATAGAAACATTGCAGATATGAATATTACGAAGACGTGTTGGTTAGGGGAAGAAAAAGCCGTTCTGATCCTACTTGGAGAAGCAGTAACCGTCGGGGCGCACAAAACTCCTCTACTTTCACGGAAAAAGTTTGCCCTACGCGCCCTTCTTGATCATCGACAGGTACGCGAAACGAAAAACAACTCTTCTATTATTCCATGACTCAGTAGGGAAACTTCTCTGAAGACTGATTAAAAATTTCAAAGTTTCAAAGTGAGTTCAATTGGTCATGAGACGAATCAATCTCACAGATAAAAAAGACGCTATATTTCTGTTGCCGTGTTCAAAATGATTCCGCAAAACTACAAACAGCCGCCAGAGAGTGGATGATATAACTGAATATCGGAAAGATAGAGATAATGTTCATTCTCGCTAAATTTACATTGAAAACAGTCTGTGCGAGAGCGCTATAGTGCATGCACACTACACACTACATTTTACAGAAAAAAATATGAGCAGGGGTCGTCAAAAAAGTGTCGTGTGAAATAAATTCCAAGATTATGTTTGCGAAAATGAATAGCAAAAGTTTTTTCCGACAGCGATCTCCATTCGCCAGTTTGTGCACAACTTTTCCAGTTACTTTGGATCTGTGGATCAGTAAGAGAGGAAAGAATAATCGGAGGGAAAATTTTGAGATCGTCAGGGTGAAGTAGACAAAATCATCCACAATGTAAATGATATAGATGGGAAAAATCTAGGAGCGAAACCCCCGGACGCCATGTAATTCCAATTGTATCATGAACCCTAATTTTTTTTCGTATCATCTCACACGGATTATATAGCAAACTATATAAGTAAAGAAAAACCTTTTTTTCTTGAAGATTTCTGAAGTTCCGATCCTTGGTTGAGCAGGGCTTTCGAGAACGAGGTGCGCCACGGGCGATTGATTTGATGAAAAAGACGCCAATAACCGTTTATATCTGCAATACTATGTCCATAAAAAGAAAGATTGAGACAAGTTGATGAATTATTTTTGTTCTGCGAGGTTCTTCCAGATTTTGTTCTGTTCTCTTAGTGAACAGTTCTGACAAGTTAGCTTGAAGAGGAAACCGCCGCTAATCAACTAAATAAATATCTTTTTCTCTGAATCACACAGAAGTCAAGGAGGAAAAAGCTTGAACTGGAGTAACGATGATTTTTATCAATGGAAACAAAAATAACACATTCAGAAGAAAAATTGATAAAAATGTTTAAAAAGAAATTGGATTACGCAGCCAGCGGAACCTTTGGAAATTCTTCAAGGAGCGTGTAGTTCCAGTTGATGACGCTGATCGTGCTGAAATCCTTCGTACAAAGAGTAGTTTAAAAGAAGCCAGTACATGGTGAACTATAGAGTACTTTTGGAAAATAACTCCCGCTCAGTTTTTTACGTTTTTTCCTCAAAAATCTTTCCAGTGCAACTAAGATTTGTCTTTTGCTAATGAGTCTTATTTAGTTCTCCCATTTAATTTGATATTAAAAATAAATGTTCAACCTGTGTTTCTTTTGTGAGTTAAGTTCACCGAGGAGAAAGGCTTCTATTTTCCGGCCTTATTCAAGGTGTCACATCAACATCCCATCCAACATGTCTCGCTGGACGAAAAGCGAATCCGCCAATTTTTAACAGAATCAAACGTGTAAGAAAGCTTAAATCGTTGTTTAAAAAATTATAATAACTAAAATTCTTACGCCAAAAAGAAGTGCAATCTTTTTGGGTGTCCCTATCTCAGAGCTCACTCCTGTGTTCCTTCTCCTGAAAAACCCACAGCCCTTGTATAATCGTTGAGAAGGTTCCGGTAGCTGAAAAAGGATCAAACGGCTCAAAGAAGAGAGAAAAGTTCACACTATTGGTTGCATTTTTCCGAAGGCGGATGGGGTGAAGTTTATCCCACCGCAAGACACGTTCAAACGCCAGCTCGAAGTGTAATATCACTATTCCGACAAAATTTTCTGAAAAACAGTTTTCGATAAACCACCTACCAAACTTGATGAACATTTTTTCTCTTATGCTTCTCCTAGATTCCGAAGCCAACAAAAACTCACTTGGAGCCGTGTCAAATGGTGTCATCACCATCCCGACGAAGATTCCTGTCAGCCCTTCAACCGACGAGAGAACATAGCGATCATCGAGAATCTTGATGCCCCCGATCTGTTCACGCGACCACGACTACTTTGTCGCTGTCGCGCTCTTTCTCGCAGACATCTTTACGCAGAGGGTACAAAGGTGACCAATCACCATCCCGATCAAGATATCTGGAACAGAAATCAAGACTTATTGCTTTTATTAAAGATGAGATGATGAAGTCGAAAAAGAATTGTGTTGGCCTCCCAGAGAAAAACTGAGTAGTAAGGGAAAGAGTAAATTTTCAGACACCTCAGTATCTTTTGTTTTCGAATTCTTTTTATTTCCTTATATGCTTATTTCCTTATATGCTCCGAAAGTTGTTCTTAGTTCCTTTACAATAAAATGTGAAAAATGAGTTTTTGCGGTTTTCGGCCTTTCCTCCGTATGCTTTTAGTCAAAATCGTATTTGTAAATGAGGATCAGAGTACGACTCACCGCCGTGTCCTCTTTCGCGCTCGTCCTTTTTCCACTCGCGGAGGTTGTTGGCTGAGAAGTCTTGGAGGCCCTTTGCCGCTCTACCTTGCGTCTTGCTCGCTTTCGGAGACGTCTTTTCTCAAGCTGTAAAATTGGACGGAGTATTTTGAAAAAAGGTGTAAACTTTAAAAAGCTTAGGGCATGATGCGAACAATCGCTATCAAAAAAATGTTCGGGAATATAATTCCGAACATTGAAAGTGCTTGGATTGAAAAATAACCTCTGGACTGTTTACTTTGCAAGAATGAAGATTTGGTCATTTTTCTGGAGAGTTTTCATTTTCTTGCACGCGTTTTACGTTTGATAAAGTCTCTGAAGAGCAAATTGAGAAAAGTTTATCAATTTTTCCTTTGTAAAACCAGAGTTCACAATTTTATTATATGGTATCACTTAGATTTTCTTCCTCGCTGAATTTTTTGAACCTTCGTTATTAGCTTTTTCCGTTTACTGGATCGATGTCGTTTCGACGGCTAAAAATTTTCGATCCATCTACTTTCATTTCTTTCTTCTTTTTATTTCTTTTCAGTTATTTCAAATTGAGAAATTAGATTTTTCACTGGCACACCTCAAATGATTACTTTTTTTGAACAGTTTTGTTCGTTCGAATTTTTCGTTGACGTATTGCTCTTTTTTCTGTAGAAATTTTTACCGTTTCAATAATTTTAATCAGCCAAGAAATTTATTCATTTCGACACAATAATGCAGAAACAATTGAAAAATTGTGGGATTTGGAAACAAAAAGCAAAATATTCTGTTATTAAATAGTCATGAGTCAGGATTCAAACCCCTTATAGTAGAACAATTCTTATATTTCTAGGGGAGGGAGACATACAAAACACAGAATTGATGAAGGGAAGAGTCTTCATGTAAACTACACAACCTTACGCCTTCAGAACAACTCAAATTATCTCCAAAAGGGTTAGAACTGCCATATTTGAAAAATTTCTAATACTTTTTGCTCACTCTTTATTGGCGTGCTGAAGAACTATTGATACGGAAAAAACACGTAACTCAGGACGTGCCTGAGTTACGTGTTTTTCTCCACTGCGTCCGTTTTTGAAGCTTCTCCACGCGGTTTTGTCTTCTAATTGAAGAAGAATCTTCAAGTGTCTCGGCGCGCTCTATTTATGAGCCCTCGCTTCTACCTGAAAAATCAAATTCAATCTGCAAAATTGCGAAAAGATGCTTACGCCTTCCGTTTTTCACATTCCTCGAGAAGAATTTGTATTACGCAGCCAGCGGAACCTTTGGGAATTCTTCGAGAAGTGCGCAGTTCCAGCCGATGACACTGATCGTGCTGCAATGATTTGTTCAGAAAGGAGTTTAGATAACATCAAAACGTCCAGAAGAATGAAAAACTATTTATGTTCTGCGGAAACAAACCAATCATTCAAGTTTCCTATTTTTCCCTCGAAAAAATCTTTCGGTGCAACAATATTTTTCTTTTCTAATGAGTCTCAATTAGCTCTACAGTCTCATTCGATATTAAAATCTTTGGCGATTGCGGTCGAAATGGACGCCTGAACGCATAAATATTGAGAAAGAAGGCAATTCAGCTGTGTTATAGTTGATACATTGTTTGGAGACGAGAAAGTGAAAGGTTTTTTTTGAACTCTTTATTTTCCTCAATGTTCAATGATGATTGACTCACTTTGCTAATCTCTCATCGTTGAATCCCGAACGATGGATTACAATGCGCGAAAGCTGTCCACATCCTTCGAGGACGACTTTGACCGCTTTCACAAAGCTTTGTGCGGTGAGATCACTATCTCGACCAACATATCTGAAAAACGTTTCACAATAAGCCTCTTTTTAACTTCAAGTTTATTGATCTCTACTTTTTTAACTACCGAACCCAACAAGAACTCACTTTTGTGCACTGTTGATGGTGACGCATCACCATCCCGACGAACATCGAAGTCAGATCTTTTGCCCGACGAAAACACGTAGCGAGGAGACATCGAGAATTCGATGCCCCCAACAGCTCCCGCGACTGCGACACTTTGTCGCTGTCGGACTCTTTTTCGCGGAGCAGCGTTTCCGCAAGAGGTGGAACATAACTATCCCGACCCGCATGTCTGAAAAAAAAACAATTAGTTTGCATTCTTCTTCAAGTTTCTTCTTAGATGATCAATCTTACCTGGGTTTTTCCTCTTCTCCCTGAGCCACCGTGAAGAGGGGCACTCACTTGCGAGCACCACTCAAGGTGTCGGATCACCATCTTGACCAAGATACCTGAAATTGAAGAATCGTTTTTGATCGCATTCCGTTGCAAAATGAAAGCACGTGCACCATTACCGTTTTTTTTCCGGTTATTTCAGAGCTTTTTCGAAACATATCATGACGACAAGCAGTTCACACTTTCAACTCTTCATTTCCTACCTATTAGAAAAACTCTATTTATTTGTAGAACAACTACTTGAAAAACGAGAAGATGGAGATTTCGCTCTTCACATATTGGAAAAAATTTGAATTACTTTTTCGAATAAAAATAAAAGTGATTTTTCATCAACTCGTTTTTTCAAATATTATGATCAAAGGTTTGATAGATGGAAAAGTTGCGGAAAAATGGTTCGGCTGATTTAATTCACATTAAAATTAGTTGTTTCCACGATAAAAACATGTATAGAATATCTGAAGGCGACTCACCGCCGTGTCCTCTTTCGCGTTCGTTTTTCTTCCTTTTGCGAGGTTGGGCAGCCGGAAGAAGAGGCGCCCAGTTTTTGAACGCCGTACAAGATGATTGTATCACCATCCCGACGAAAGATCACTGAAATGGAAAAAAATTATTTTTTTGATCAAACTTCTTACTGAAAAAATTTTATAGAGTCAAAGTTCATCAACACTTTATTTTTTTATTGTTAGGAATAACCGTGAAATGGACTAAATTTGAAGTATACCAGAAGCAACACAAGACTGCGACACACTTTATTGACACTTTTTTTTTTGATTCGATCGAAAAGGAATTTTTGTAAAGGTAGATGCTGTCCCGTCAGAGAAGTTACGAAGAAAACGGAGTTTTGGTCAAAACTTTTTTTTTCCTCATAAGAGATTCATTCTCAAAATTGCGTTGTTTGATATCTTTTCTGACGGTACTGTATGCTCAAAAAATGCCTTTAAAAACCTCTATGGCCTGTTCCTTCACAATAATTTGTGGAAAACTTAGTTTCCGCTTTTTTTGGCACTTTCTTTGTATGCTTCATAGACAAAATCGTATTTTAATGTAGAAATTTTAAAAAGGCTCACCACAGTGTCCTCTTCCGCGTTCGTTTTTCTTCCACTCGCGGAGATTGTCGGCTCAGGAGTCTTGGAGGCCCTCGGCGGTTGCCTCGCGCTTGTTCGCTTTTGGAGACGTCTTTTCTCAAGCTGCAAAATTGGACGGAGCATTTTGAAAAAAGGTGCAAACTTTTAAAAGCTTAGCAAATGGAGCGAGCAATTGCTATCAAAAAAATTTTCTGGATAACCATCCCAAACACCGAAAATGCATGAACTGAAATTCGGCAGAATCACGCACAATGTTTCCAAAGGATGAACAATTATAGAAACGGTGGGTCGTATATTAGGCATCCAGGAAGCAATGAAAATCTATTAATTCAGCCGGAAAATTGTCAAAAAAAGACAGAAATAGTTCCGTAATATTTCGAAGTTACTCTTGAAATGTCAAGTTATTGTCAGAAAAGTCAACAGGTGTGGATTCAATAAATCTTTCACAGACGATATGAAAAAACAAGTTTTTGGATAATAATCAATTAATATTAAGAATATCTATAAAACAAAAAAATAAGTGAGTAACAGTCAGAAATGGGTTTTTATGTATACCCTGAAACAGCTCAAGCAATTACAAATTGGCATAATTTTACGTAGGGGACCGCAAAGCCACGCCCCTTTTTCGCGATAGAAAAAAAGTGGCTTTTTTTGGTTTTCAACTTTCATTTTGTTTTAGTTGCAAAAATATATGGAACTGGATAATAAATTTTGAGACACATGTACAGAAAAGCTTCCTCTTTCGTTTAAAAAATATTTCACGCTTTTTTGATGCGTTCTCGCGGAATGTCGTACAAAAACGTGAATGCAACTGAAAAATTTTGTCATTTTTTGCTTTTTCATGTGTTTTCAGGTCGAACGCACTCTTTCTTTTTTTAAATAAATGATTTTGATTCAAGTAACGGTAATTTTAAAACAATAAAAATAAAAAAATTCGTCTTTGCCAAAAAAATTTTTAGGGAGTGCCGAAAGTCATAATTCAAAAATATCGTTAATATGCGAATATAATCGTGTTTTTTTCTTTTTTTCAAAATTTAGATCATGGGCTTACTTAAATTTTTTTCTCCACAGCATATGTGCTTGAAAAAGTTGTTTAATACGCCAAAATGCTCTTGAAAATAGAGAATAAAATTAGCGGCGTTTATCACACAGAAAAGCGGTCGAACGCAGGTTTTTTTAAACGATTATATGCATTTATTAGTAAAAAAATCTTTCAATTAAAAAGAATAAAAATAAAAAAATTCGTCTTTGCCAAAAATTTACGGGAGCCGTTTTAATGCAGCGATCGTTTAAACGAGGCAAAAAGCACTAAAAACAGTTTTTTTCGAAGCGAATTTCCACGGAAAGTTTGAGTAAAGATTTCGCGAACATATTCTGATAAAAAAATAGCTAAATTACTTCAAATTTTTTTCTTTTTGAAATAGGCAATCTGTGCTATCCAAACGGCTCAAAGGGTATGGCGGATGGAAGCCCCCTTCGCTAGACCTGACAGCTTGGCGCAGCGCGTGCGCTGCGATTTTGTCATTTTTGAGGTCGCGAGTTCGATTCCCGCAACCGTCAGTTTTTTTGTTTTCTGGAAAATACCGACTTTTTTTCGGCAAACTAGCAAATTTTTTTATTATTTTTAGCACTCTATTATGATTTGTTACATCATAATAGACCAGTATCAAAACTTGTTCTAGAAGAAAAAAATCGAGAAAAAATGTCAAATAAATGGATAATACCAAAAATTTCAGTTCTAAAAAAATGGTGCGCGGCGCGCCACATTTTTTTCGTCATAACTTTTTCATCCTCAATCTTTTTCGAAAAAAACTAAACGGTTCTGAGTTTTTAATCGAAAACAGCTATCAAAACCATACAAAGTTCAATGCTGAAAAAATTTTAAAAAAATTCGTCTGCGGTCCCTAATTTTACGTTCTCCGTAACGTTCTTAAAGAAATACGAAGCACTTTGAAGGTCCTTTCTAGGTTTCTAATCATAGAAACATGGCACATATTAATATTACGAAGACGTTTTGGTTAGGGGAAGAAAAAGCCGTTCTGATCCTACATGGAGAAGCAGTAACCGTCGGGGCGCACAAAAACTCCTCTACTTTCACAGAAAAAGTTTGCTCTACGCGCCCTTCTTGATCATCGACAGTTTCGCGAAACGAAAAACAACTTTTCTATTATTCCATAACTCAGTAGAGAAACTTCTCTGAAGCCTGAATAAAAATTTCAAAGTTTCAAAGTGAGTTCAATTGGTCATGAGACGAATCAATCTCACAGATAAAAAAGACGCTAATTTCTGTTGCCGTGTTCAAAATGATTCCGCAAAACTACAAACAGTCGCCAGAGAGTGGATGTATAATATATATATATAAAAACTGAATATCGGAAAGATAGAGATAATTTTCATTCTCGCTAAATTTACATGCCTGTTCGAGAGCGCCACAGTGCATGCACTACTACACACTACATTTTACAGTAAAATATGAGCAGGGGTCGTCAAAAAAAGTGCCGTGTGAAATAAATTCCAAGATTATGTTTGCAAAAATGAATAGCAAAAAGTTTTTCCGACAGCGATCCCCATTCGCCAGTTTGTGCACAACTTTTTGCAGTTACTTAGGGTTATTATGTGGATCAGTAAGAGAGGAAAGAATAATCGGAGGAAAAAAATTTTTGAGATCGTCATGGTGAAGTGAGACAAAATCATCCACAATGTAAATGATATAGATGAGAAAATCTAGGAGCGAAACCCCCGGACGCCATGTAATTCAAAAATTTATCATGAACGCTAATGTACTATCTTAGTTGCAAACTATATGAGTAAAAAACCTTTTTCCTGGAGGTTCCTCAATGTCCGATCCCTGGTTGAGCAGGGCTTTCGAGAAGGAGGAGCGCCACGGGCGATTGATTTGATGAAAAAGACGCCAATAACCGTTTATATCTGCAATAATCTGTCCATCAAAAAGAAAGAAAAAAATCGAGACAAGTTCATGAGATTTATTCTTTTTGAGATATTTTTCCAGCCTTTATTCTGTTTTTCTTATTAAAAATCTGACAAGTGCTGAAAAGGGAAAAATATTTAATAAATACTAAATAAATATTTGTCTCTGAATTACACAGAGGTCGAGGAGAAAAAGTTCAAACTGGAGTATCGACAACTTTATTATTGGAAACAGCAATAAAACGTTCAAGAGAAAATTTGTGATAAAATTTTGAAATATTTGAAAGAAGAAGCAGGATTACAGGGCCAGCGAAAACCAATAAAAATCCTTCAAAGGCGTGTATTTCCAGTTGGTGACGCTGATCGTGCTGCAATAATTTGTTCAGGGAGGACTTTGAAAAACATCAAAATGTCCATCAAAATGAAGAATTGAATGAGTTTTCCGGCAAAGAACTAGTTCGCTCAATTTGTCATATTTTTCTTTACAGAAAATCTTTTCAACGTAACTAGATTTTGTCATTTCCTTATAAGTAGTTCTCCATTTCTTTATTTAATAATAAAAATTCCATTCTCAACCTATTTCTTTTCCGTGATCCAAATTACCCGAGAAGGAAGACTTCCGCTCTCTGCGCCTCATTTTTGGTGTAAAATCACCATCCTGTCCAACATGTCTGTAAAAAGTTATTTTTCTAAATGCCTTTCTCGAAAATTGAGAAACTTTTCAATTTTACCTGTCTTATCATCTCGAAGGCCGTTCAAGGTGAGTGATCACCATCCCAATCAACATTACGGCGTTTGCCCCTGTGTTTCTTTCTAGAAGTCTCACAGCCGTCGTATGACCGTAACTGGAAAAGGATCAGAAGGCTTAAAGAAGAGATAGAAGTTCTCACTATTGATTGTATTTTCCGAAGGCGAATGGGGGTGAGCGAGAAGTTTATCCCACCGCAAGACACGTTCTTCCACTTCTGGCCGTCTCATTTGAGGTGGCACATCACCATCCTGACCAATATGTCTGAAAAAAGTATTTGATAAACCTCTTTCGATTTTGGAGGATGTTTAACAACCCTCTTTGCTTTTCTAAAATGCCAAAAGGATCAAAAACTCACTTCTGGTCACTGTTAATGGTGAAAAATCACCATCCCGACGAACATCGCTGTCAGGTCCTTTGCCCGACGAGAACACGTAGCGCGGAGACATCGAGAGTTCGATGCCCCCTGACTGTTCACGCGACCACGACACTTTGTCGCTGTCGGGTCCCTCGCGGAGCAGCCTCTTTCTGTAGACTTCCGCTTGCAGTCTATCCGCTGAAAAATGGTTCCTATTTTCAATGACCAAGTCTATCAATTCAGCATGAACAATGAACTAAGAGAAAGAAAGTTTTGCCAAGCCAACATGAGTATCTTTGATTGGAAAATGGAATAAAAGTTTTATTTCTTAGTAATTACTTTATTTTCGTCGCATCAGTCACATTCAAAAAGCTCTATTTCAGCTAAAGATGGACTTCAGTCTGCCGAGATGTATGAATAATCAAGTTCAACATTTCCTTTTCATTTCTATACTGTAAGTAAGGATTTGGAGGCAACTCACCACCATGTCCTCTTTCGCGTTAGTTTTTCTTCCTTTCGCGAGGTTGGGTAGCCGGAAAAAGAGGCGCACAGTTTCGAACGTCGATCGAGGTGATGCTATCACCATCCCGACCAAGATCACTGAATTTGAGAATTAGTTTTTAATCAGATTTTTGGTGCTGAGACAAGACAGCGTTACATAAATTGGCCTGAATTCGAACAGAAGGGAACTGTTGTAAGAGTTGATGCTGTATCTTCAGAGAAATTACAGGGGTTTCGGTCGAAACTTTCTTGTAAGGGGGTTCAATCATTCTGAAAAATTACTGGAGCTTCGAAGAATGTTGTTTTTAGCATTCTGCTAAAGTTTTTAACTCAATTACAACACCATAGTGGAAAAATGAGTTCTGCTGTTTTTCGACCTTTCCTTTCTAGCAAAATACGGAAAGATATCAAAAAAATCTGTAAGTGCCATTCGATTCAGAGTACAGAATAACCCCCAGAGCCAAACTTTATCCTAGCACTTTTCCTACGAAAATGCCATCGAAAAAACGGTTTTTCGACCGTTCAATAAGGATTGGACCCACCTGGAATTTTGACTTTTCATTGGTATTTTTGTCAATTTCTGATGAGTGGTTTTTGTTCTAATATTATTTGTTTCCAAGTTTTCTACGGTTTTCCCTTCATATATTCCAGGTTTAAAAATATTTTATATCGAAAATAGGGAAAAATGACGTTTTTGAGTTTGCATCAAAAATATTCAGAGCGAGTGATTTTTCCAGTACTTTGAATGAAATCACCTTCAAAAACACTTTAAAAACGGTATACCGCCAATCCAACCACATACAGAAAGAAAAACGGTCGAAAACGACGACAGTCTGAAATTTGGTCACGGTACATCATCTTGTAACTGGTTTTACTAACTATTAAACGAATTTTTCGAACTTCTTTTTGTTTTTGAATGTTGAAATGTCTCTTTTGATAAGATTTCATTCAAAGTACTGGAAAAATCACTCGCTCAAATATTTTGATGCAAACTCAAAAACGTCATTTTCCCCTATTTTCGATATAAAATATTCTTAAACTTATTGAACAGTCGAAAAACCGTTTTTCGATGGCAATTTTCGTAGGAAGAGTGCTAAGATAATAAAATTTTGGCTCTGGAGGTTATTTTGTACTCTGAATCAACGGCACTCACAGATTTTTGATATCTTTCCGTATTTCGCCAGAAAGTCCAAAATCGAGGGGCTCCTATCCTTTGAACGCATTGTATATCGTTAGATACGAAATTTTTACGCGCGAATTCGAAATTGGTGTAGAAAATGCCCATATAACTCCAAAATTTTGAATTCCCGCGCAAAAGTTGCGGGAAAAATGCATATCAAAGGATATATCGTTGTAGGGCTCATTTTTCCCGCGTTTTCGCGGAATACTATTTTAAACGAATAACGCGTCTATTTTGAAATCGCCGAAATTACTTTGAACAAGGCATGAACTTTTTCCAACTCGAACGACAAAGGAGGCAAAGAATGACGCCGGATGCGTAACGTTCGCGGTTCTCGGCAAGAGTTCAATTCAACCGCTAGTGACTATTCGGAGAGTTCGTTCATTGCTTTTTAATTGATTATTTTTATTTCTTATCAATTTATTACTCTTGTGCATTAGGAAATAGTATGAAAGATACAAAAAAAGCGGTGATCGAGTTTTCGAATAGTCAGAGGCGCTGAAATAAACTCATTGAAATACGCGTCTCTGCTCCGTCTCGCCTAGCAAATCGAGTTGAATAGACTACATAGTTAAAAATTCTATGCTCTATAAAAAGGCATAAATATACACGTTAACAAAAGAGAGAAGCATATTAGGTGATTAAAAGAGCAATAAAAATCGAAATCAGCCAAAGAATCGTATGAAAAGACAGAACAAAGATCGGTAACAACTCGGTTTCCCTCTAAGATGGTCAAGTTATTATCAGAAAGGCAACAGGCGAGAATATTCTTTCTAGAAGCCATCGTTCGCAGACACAGTGAAAAAAATGAGTTTTTGGATGCAGTAATTTTAAAATAGGAATATCTATAAGACAAAAATGAGTAAGTAACAGTCAGAAATGGGTTTCATGTATACTCTGAAACAGCTCAAGTCATTACAAATTGGCATAATTTTACGCTCTCCGTAACGTTCCTAGAGAAATACAAAGCATTTTGAGGGTCCTTTCTAGGGTTCTAATCATAGAAACATTGCAGATATGAATATTACGAAGACGTGTTGGTTAGTGGAAGAAAAAGCCGTTCTGATCCTACATGGAGAAGCAGTAACCGTCGGGGCGCACAAAACTCCTCTACTTTCACAGAAAAAGTTTGCTCTACGCGCCCTTCTTGATCATCGACAGTTTCGCGAAACGAAAAACAACTTTTCTATTATTCCATAACTCAGTAGAGAAACTTCTCTGAAGACTGGATAAAAACTTCAAAGTTTCAAAGTTAGTTCAATTGTTCATGAGACGAATCAATCTCACAGGTGAAATAGACGCTATATTTCTGTTGCCGTGTTCAGAATGATTCCGCAAAAACTACAAACCGCCGTCAGAGAGTGGATGATATAACTGAATATCGGAAAGATCGAGATAATGTTCATTCTCGTTAAGTTTACATGCCTGTGCGAAAGCGCCACAGTGCATGCACACTACACACGATATTTTACAGAAAAAAATATGAGCAGGGCGTCGTCAAAAAAAGTGCAGTGTGAAATAAATTTCAAGATCAAAAATAAACACATTTTGATCGAAAGGCGTGGATGTCCGCAGCTTCGCAGGTGTTGAGTTCGCAATGGCAAAAAAGTTTGATATTATTGACGCAAGGCTCAAAAAGCAGTGTAGAGGTCTCAGAAATAATTGAATTGCTAGTTTCTAATCCTTATGTTAGAGCTCTGAAGAGTTCATACAATTTATTGATTTCACCTCTCATTTAGGTTATGGTTCTCGGTAAACTGATCTGATTTTTGCCCATTACTTGTTCAAACTGATTACGAGTTTAAAAATAATTGCGTATTCACGACGTAAAATAAATGTGCATGTTCAGTTCTTTTTTCATAGAACTTCGTCCATTTACAATTTTCATGAATTTGTTCCGATGTTTCACGTCTTTTCTCTTTAATTTCTTGTTGAATGAAATATAGCAGACAAAGGCGGTTATTGGCGTATTTTTTTTCGTCGAATCAGTCGCCCGGGGCGCACCTCGATCTCAAAGGCCTTGTTCAACCCGGAATCGGAGATCTAGGGTACCCAAAAAAGGTTTCGCAAAGTGTAAACTACCCTGTCATCTGGCGTCTTGACCCGAAAAGTTTATTGCGCAAAGATGGCGATGCGCCTGTTCTTATGTGTACTCCAGGCCTCAAAAGCCGCCAGACCAAGAAAAAACCGACAAAGGAAGAAACTCCGTTTATCGTTTATGGAAACGTACCTTTGGAAGAAATTGAAAAAAGAGAAGTAGTTAGGGTTTTGAAAGTGAGTCAACTCTTGCAGACTCGTTGAGAAAAACGAGAACTGAAAAAAATGGAAAAAATAGAAACATTTCATTGAAATGCGTCTTCCCTAACTTTAGCTCTTTCTGATTCACCGATACTTTTTTCCGGATGGTAAGTGGTTTTTAAGTTCATAAAATTAAAGAAATTTCCGTGACGATATAAAAATTATGTTTACTTTGGAAAAAAGAGAAATCCCTCATGGTAAATTCCTTTGTTAAGAAAAAAGTTTCCTCATTTACTTCTTTTCATTTGAACTAAAAAATCACTGTTTTGGATCCACTTCGACTTGAACTATTTTTGCAGAAATTTGCTTCAATTTGCAAATACACAGGATTTGAAGGTAGCAGAAAATCGCAGAAGTAATTATTTTATTTTCAAACATTTTATAACAATTGAGTGTGTTGTTTTTAGTAGCTTGACATTAAAAGATTATGATCAAAGGGTTTTCGAAAAAGCCGATACAGTTTCAATTTCTTCAATTTACTTTCTTGTTGCTTCACTTCCATCAGGACCTTCCGGCAGTTTTCGTTTTCCAACCGAAACGAGGTTGCACACTTAGCTCTCTCTCTGAAATGGCATTTTGAAAAGAAAAACGACAGGTCTTAATGCGAAGTGCGCAAAAAGCTCTATATACAGTAGCTTTTCCATTTTTTAACATGAGAGCTTTTCCATTTTTGCGCGGGGTTTTTCGATGCTGGTGAAAGTACCGTATGCGTTTTTCCAGGTATTATGACGTCAAAAATGACAAGAAATGGCTTCCGTTTTGTCCTACTGTAGCTTTATTCACGGTTGTTCGTTATTGCGATGCTGAATGTGAAACAATCGATAGCTGATGCAACTTTCGGAACTCTTCTAACCACTTTGGGTTACTGTTGAAAAGCTTAGAGATGCGCTACTTTCACGCGGTCGATTTCATGGTTATTCTAATTAACATATAATCAATTGCTGTCCCGAGTTCACTTTTTAGCTTATTCAACTTTTTCTGTCGATTTCTAGCATACCACGTTTCCCTATTCCTGCTGTCGACACCTCCTGAATTACTGCGTCCGAAATGCGGTTGATCATCTCTTGCTTCGCCCAAAATCCTTCTGAAAATTTCATTCAGAGTTGAGACGTGGAAGAAAAGTTTGAACCGAGGTGATCCCTAATGTTTTGTAGCACACCTAGGAACACCAGACTGTTCCCTTACAGGGGCAATCTTGAAGGCCCTTGAGGTCCCCTCCGACAACTTTACCAACCCCTATAAGGCACAAGAGCAATACGTAACTGAACGAAGTACAACA